CACAGATAACATCTGGCCAGGCCAGTTTCCTGCTGGTTGTTTGGCAAGCCTACCAGCCAGCCAGGTGCATAAAAACCTCCCTGCTTTGGCAGTTCAAGGCAAGCAGCAAAAGGAGAGATTTGTAATACTCCTCTCAAACCAAACTGAAGTCATGTTCTTTCCTGTAATTTCACACAACTTTGAAATGTACCCCATCTTGGCTGGGGGGCAAACTGGTTTACGGTCAATTGACGATGATAGCTTTTATTGTGTGCTTCCTTTACACATTTCCAGACACTTCTAAGTAAAGCCATGTAAAATCTAGGTATCTAAGGGGAGCTTTACCAACCTTTCACCCAAACCATGCTTGGTTATTTGTTTCCGTTACACTTTTCTTTAAAATACAGAGGTTTGGGTCAAATATTTTATCAATCCACAATCTAAGCCAAAGTCAGACTTGTACTTCTTCTTGCAGACAATACACACATATTAAATGCACTAAAGTTGTTGGACTACAATTCCCATCACCAGAGGTGTACCTAGGGGTTGGAGAAGCCGGCACTCTCTGGGGGTGCAGGCCCTGGGGGAACACAAAAATCACCCCAGAAATCTGCCTCCAGTTATCTGTGTCAGGTCATGAGTTTAGAGCAGAGCTGGAAACTGAGCAGTAGGAGAAATGGCGAGGCGGTATGAAGGTAGACCGCTGGAGACTATGGCATCTATGATGTATATGTGTTTAGCAACATGCCACTGCTGTTGCAGTAAGATCAAACGCAGGAGATTCTTCCTGTCTTTCTTGCCATTCCTCCTCACCTCACCCTCACTCCAGACACTTTGATCCTTGTCAACTGCATAAGGGACCCTAGATACACCTCTGCCCATCACCCCTGACTTTGGCTGTGCTGACTGATGGGAGTTATACGTCAACAACATCTGGAAGGTAACACTTTGACTACTCCTAGCCACACACAGAAAACACCAGGGATAAGATACTGGAAATGTGCTTGTGAGGGAAAAGCCCGCTGTTTCCTCAGCTACCTTGATAGAAACATTCTTATCACCATGCAAGGAAAGCCTCAAATGTTGACAGAGGTTCTTGGGAGGGAGACGAACTGCCATGACCTTTGTAACAGAGTGTGGAAAGAGCAACACACAACCTTGTCCATAACCACCCATCAACATTCAAGATGAAAAGCTCGTAGAAATGAGTTCTTTCCAAGGTTTGTTTAGAAAAGGGCCTAAGCCGCAGGTTAGTCATTCTTATTAGGCATGTTCGCCATTGTTATTATACGCAGCTGCTTTCAAGAGGCACAAGGCAGGCACTAAGTGTAGAGCAGTGGAGGCCAAAATGTAAGTGTTTCTAAATACATTGAAATATATACATTCTTACAAGCAAGGTGGGAAGTGATGGGTTGCTACAACCAGGTTACAAAATTGGAGTGATGTCCAGAGTAGCCCAGTTTTAGCAACGGGAATTATGACTAAAAAAAAATTTTTTTAAAATCTTAGTCATACTTGTCTTTAAACCAAATACAGTGGTACCTCGGGTTAAGTACTTAATTTGTTCCGGAGGTCCGTTCTTAACCTGAAACTGTTCTTAACCTGAAGCACCACTTTAGCTAATGGGGCCTCCTGCTGCCGCTGCACCACTGCTGCACGATTTCTGTTCTCATCCTGAAGCAAAGTTCTTAACCTGAAGCACTATTTCTGGGTTAGCGGAGTCTGTAACCTGAAGCGTATGTAACCTGAAGCGTATGTAACCTGAGGTACCACTGTACAAGGGAGCAGATAAGCACTCAGACAGACGGGGCTAGTTTGTAAGTCATCTGTTGCAACATGCTTCCACTAGAAAGCTATTCTGCTGCACTGTGTATGTAACCCGAGGTACCACTGTATAGCTAAATGATTGGTGTCTATTTCACAAATTTATATCCTTCTCCCTTCCCCCGCAAAAAGAAATTCAAAGCTGCTAATAACAATAAACTATACACACAAACCAAATTGACAAATAAACCACAAAAAACATAATAAAAACCTTAATTTTTAAAAAACAAAAAATCAGCAAAAAACATCCATTCATAAAGCTCCCCAAACTGAGTGAAGCTATAAAGGAAAACAGTCTTAAAATATTAATAGGAAGGAGAGGGTGGAGGTTTTCCATCCTAAACCAGGCTTTAGCCCACAAAGTGTTCGGGCTTGGCAAATCTAAGCCAAGGGGACTTTCCACAAGGTGCATGCCACAAAAAGGACTCTGCTCCATTTTGCCGCCCCCTAGGATTCAGGTGATTCCTCAGGTGATGAATGGAGCATATAAAGAGGAACTTATGGAAGAAGATGCTCTTTGAGGTATATGGGTCCCAAGCAATTTAGGTAATACCGTATTCTTTTCTCTTCTTTCATAATGCAATATAAATAATACAATCATAATACTTAAGGGGGGGTTTGCCAGAAATGCATATTTAATTCATTCTTGCTGATCCTCCAGAACAAGTAGATAAATAAATTATTAGAATTTCTCCAAAATTCTTCAGTGAGGTACTTCGTCAAAAGCTTTTTGAAAGTCCAAGTACAAGATATCAACTGGATCACCTCTATCTATATGCTTGTTAATACTCTCAAAGCACCCTAAGAGGTTAGTGAAACAGGGCTTACACTTGCAAAAGCCATGCTGCTTCTGCTTCAGCAAGACCTTTTCTTCATATGCTTTCCACCTGCTTTCCTGGAAGACACATGAAACTAACTGGATGTTATTTCTTGGATTCCCCCAGATCGCTTTTAAAAAACTGGCATCCCCATGGCCACTTTCCTGTATAGAGGCCGATCTTAGAGACACATTAAATCTTTTTGTTAAGTAACTCAAATGTGAAATTGCTGATACTCTTAAGAACACTTTGGCAAATGCTATCTGAACCTGGTGATTTTCCGTTTTTATTTTGCCACTAAGGCCTAGAACACTTTCTCTTATCACCACAATTCTTCAGACTTTCCTTCCTGCGAAAGTTAGTTCAGGCACAGGGATCTGAACTATATTGTCCATTGTAGAAGTATTCACCCAGCTTCTCTGCAATCTTCTTTTCTTCCTTCAATATACATTCGACCTACTTGTCATCTAAAGGCTGAAGCACCTCCCTAGCTTATCTCCTGCTACTAATGTATATAATGATTTTTTGTTGGTGGTCTTTATGTTTGCTTGTTCATAACTATGTGTTTCCTCATTTGGACAAGACTTTCTGAAGGAAGCCTTCTTTGCTTCTTCCAGTTCCTTCACTCTGCTTGCAAACCACATCCCCTTGGTTCTGATGGTACCTTTCTTGATCGGTGGTAACCATTCCATGAACTTCTAATATTGTAATATTCAATAACCCTGAAGCATTCTGGAGACATCCGACCCTTCTTAACTTTCTCTTTCAACTTCATTTTGGGGAAATTTCCTCTTTTGAAGTCAGATGTGACTGTGTTGCATTTAACAATTAACCATGTGAGTAATCTCGTGCATATTTCAACACAGCAATGAAGGGCCGGGGGGGGAAGGGTCATGGGGGCAGGGAGTGGTGCATCTAAGAACTGTTTTTGCAATCAGCTTTTAAATTGTCTTTTGCATTTCCTACACTTGAACACAAATAATGAAACCTAAATGAGCTAGAACATTCATTCGGTTTTTAAAATAAGCCTCTTCTATATTTGATATGTCTAAATATTGGAAAAAGAGGTAACAAATGAATACCAAAAGACTTGGCTACTTGCGAAAAAAATCAGAGGAATACAGTACCTGCCCTTTAACCCATAAATTATTCCAGGACAGGACAGGACAGCAGTTAACCCTATTAGCTGGGCAAAACGTGTCGGACAATAAAGGGCTATTGTAAGCACACTAACATGATATACAGTAATTGTTTTATTATTATTTTATTATTATTTACTAATTATGACCATTGTTATAAGAGTAGGAGTAGCAGCATATTAGCAAGTGGGGAAGGGTGAGTCTCCACCCCAAGAAGCTCACATTCTAAATATACACAATGCGGAAGACAACAAAGGGAAGGAAGGGAGGCAAAGGAAACAGGATGAATGTAAGCAAAAATTTGTTAGGTTTTAGCTGGGGATGAGAACACTGTTTTAATTATTAGGATCTGGGGAATTTTTCCACAGCTGCTAGCATCATATTGAAGTAATGTGAAGTTGATGGCAATGTAGAGTGTGCTGTGTATCTGTTAATTCAGTCTGTTTGGATTGCTGGATGATCATACTATATGTTGCTTGTAGAACTTTGTAAGGAGCCATGTGCCCTGATAATGCTACATAAATGAATAATAATAGTCATCCAAATCACAAGTACACAATCCACGATTTGGCACTCATGCAAAGGGTCTGTTTGTCAGTGTCTACCGTTACTATCTGTCAGAATTCCCCTTCTGACAAGAAATAACTCAAAAAGCCATTGTTCGAAACAACGAGGAACTATTTAGAGAAACAGAGTCGGTTCTGTGAAACTGGCTAGAAATACCCTGACTGCTCCACACACGATCTTGGGTGTTTTATTTTTTCAAAATAAAAACTCCAAGCCATTCAGTAAGTTCCTCATCTTTGCTGCCCAGCCTTTTCGATCTCCGAGAAAGCAGAGCTGAAGGGTGAATGGGGAATAGTATTACCATGCGACCCAACCTGTTGGAAAGCTTTTCATAAAGGGAAGCAGAGGGTGGGCTTTTCCTTTCAAAGCTGGCACTCTCAGCGCACAAAAGGCAGCTGTAGTAGTAAACTCCACTCCTTTTGAATCAGACAAGCTTCCTCTCAGCCAACGGCAAGCCAAGCCAGCTGCTGACGTCAGAGCTCGTCTGGGAAGCTTGCAGGCTTGCTGCTTTTGCTCAGATGAACTGGAGCTGTTTTTGAGATCTGAGCTGGCGGGAAGGGCAGCTGAAGCCAGAGAGCTTTCTCGTTTTCTCGTCTCAGGCTCGAACTGCGATGCTCGGCTAAGGGTTACCTCTTTTAGAAAGCCACCGGGATCAACATAACACTACAAGCTTATGTACATACTACAGAAAACAATGAGGGTAAGAAAAAACAATTCCCCATTCTTCCTTTATTTTTCTTTTACGGAATTTCCTGGGAATGTTTTGTTTTGTTGTTCTAATACTTCTTTCCCCCTCCTCCCGAAAGAGCAGTAAACGACATTCGGGACTCAGTCCCCCCAGGTGAAGCTTTGGCTTCTCTGCTAAACTGGAGTCGTGTCGCATGCACTACAGCCAAGGTTTAAAAGTAGTGCGTATGTGGATATTGTTAAATGGCTTTGCTGTGTTGTGGGGAAAAGAACGGCTCCCACGTTAAAAGAACTGGAGGGGTGTCTCTTTTTCTCTTTATGGGATCCTGTCAAAGTGCATTTTTGCTTACAGATCCAAAATGCACATTGCGGTTTGGTTTCGCGTTTGGCTGCTGTTGTATAAATGTAATTGGGCCAGCTTCAGAGCACTTGTGCTCCAGAGACTGCTGGCGAAAGTACAGTATGCGTTTTACATTGTTTTATCTAGAAATAAGGAATTCTTTGAGCTCTATTCCAGTGTTTACTGACAGACATAACAAGAGTAGGTGACTTTTAGCCTCGGCATGGGCGAACATAAAGATCTTAAACATCCCAGCTCCGCATTCTTAACATGCCAAAGCAAATATATTATTTCCCTCTCTTTCTCCCCTCCCCTCCTTTCTTCTCTCTCTCTCTCAGTTAGCTTTTAACTTGTTTGGTTATTGCTCTCTTTTCTTGGAGTGGAACTAGATGTTGCTAGACGCACTACTTTGTGTATATTTTGTACTCTTCATGGCAACCTATAGCATTCTACAATGCACAATGTGATGTCATCACCCGTTTCATTTTTCTGACACCACGATCAATGATAAGAGAGGGAACACATGGCAGAATGTTATGTTATTTTAGATTTTTGTGTTCCTTGGGGCACGGAGAGGTTTTGCTTTTCGCTTGTATTATTCGATAATATACCACATAAGGGAAACATGTCATGCAACTACAAGTCTCAAAACCATTGAATCCATTGTCTTGGTAGTCAATGTGGTACAGGGGGGTGGCATTTCCCTGGGCTGGGAAAATCCAGGTTCAAACATCTATTCAGTCATGTTTTTGGGGTAGCCTTCAGTAAGTCCCTGTTATGCCAACCTCAGAAGGTCATTGTGAAAAGAAAATGGGGTGTTTTAAAGGAAATCCACAGGCAAGCAACTTATTTGAGATAAGCCAGTCCTCTCTAGAGATGTGAAGGCGCTGTCAAAAAGACAAGAAAAGAATCAGGGAAAAACCCCAATTTCATTCTTTCCCTCCCCTTAAGACTTCTTCCTGGTTTTTCCAGTGGGGGAAATGGAAGTAGGTTTTGTTGCCACAGAATATCTAAGGGTGTAAAGAAATGGATCCTGGGTAGGTTTAGCTGAAATGCAATGTACAGTCACCATTTGTTTGCATTGACCCCCCCCCCCCCCAGGTGTGCATATGTTCCCTCTAGCTGTACATTCTGGGGGTGGTGGGTGAGGAACAGGAGCAGAATGCCTGCTATCATTGCTTCTTAAACTCTGCATGTTCAGGGTGAGTGTGAAAGTGGCCTCCTTGCCCAGAGCCAAATACACATGGGGCTCCTTCACAAAATTCCCAATTGCCCCACAAACCAAGCTGTACACATGTACAGCAGTTTGCACACATTCTGCTTTTACATTCATTCTAAACATGTGGGTGCCAGGGAGCATGGGTAGTGTGTGCACCAATACTAGCAAAGTTGCCAGCAGGTGCAAGCCTCTACCCAAGTTTATTCATCATGTGAGGAGGGGGTTGTTTAGTGTAGATGTGCTAACATGTCATTTCATGGATTTGGAACATCGTCATGCGTGGCCAAGGATTCTACTCTTCATATTCAAATCTAGGTGCCTAAGAACACAAGAGTAGTCCTTCTGGATCAGGCCAAAGGTTCGTTTTGTCCAGCATTTTGTTTACATCAACAGCTGGCCAGATGATGAGAAAGGGCATGAAGGCAACAGCCCTCCCATGTTGTCCGCCCTCCACATCTGGTGTTCAGAGGTCTACTGCCTCTTAACATGGTAACTTTCAACTATCACAGCTGAGAGTTGTTGATACACCTGTCTTCCTCAACTGATAAGAAATAAGAACTACACAACTTTTATAAGACATCTGAAGGCAGCGCTGTATTGGGAAGTTTTTAATGTTTGACATTTTATTATTATTTTTTATGTGTTGGAAGCTGTCCAGAGTGGCTGGTGTATAAATAATAACATTTGCATTATTATCAGGATTGTATCCTAAATGGGGCCACTGATGAACAAGAGGGAGGGAGCAGCAGGCTTGGAAGCAAACCCAAGGTTTGCAAAAGTACAAAAAGATTTCCCTAGGGGGAAATCTTAAAAGGAAAACCCCACCACTACCAAAACCATCTAGTTAGTACTGTCCATAGTCAGTGGCCTCAGGATGCTGAATGTCCATTGGTGGAATGGCAACTGGGAGCAGTATGGAATGGTGTTCCTGGAAGAGGGCTTGGCTGGCAGACTCTAACCTTGAAAAGAAGTGCACTACATGACAACATTTTGTTGCAGGCCCCACTGGTCTAAGCAGATGGCCATCCCTGCATCTTGTTGCTGTGAATCTTATGTTAATTATTCACTTTGTGAAGGAATACCTCCTTTTGCCTGTGTTAACCCTGCCAATGAATCAATTTCATTGCCTGACCCTGCGTTTTAATACTATGAAAGAAGCATGTTCCCTCCTATTCCATAATCTGCAGTTTGGGCATGCATCTAGATGAAATAGCCTGACAGTGCACACTGTACATGAGTAGCTCATTAAAAACCACTGCCATATCCCTTAAAAGGAAGGAGTAAACTCACAGGCAACTCGCATAATAAACAGAGTCGAGCTGCCTTCCACGTCCCTCCCTCCCTCCCAAAGAAACATCCCATTTGTCAAGCTGTCATGTGAGCCTACAAGGATGCCTTGTGACTAAATTTGTGAAATACCACAGAACATTACCAAGAAAGCACTTGTGCATAGAATTGCTGTGTCTCATTTCTCAATTGTATGTCAATTAGATGCTGTACATTTTGTCTCTCGTCCCCATTCACATGAGTCACTTCAAACATTTAAATGACAAACACTGGCCTGAACTGTGGGAGGGATATGCTGCTGTTTACTATTAGGGACATTCCGCCTTCTAAGTCGTAAACAGCTGTGCAGGATTCTGTCCTAGCATATGAGCTGGCAGGAGTTTTCTTCTTTCTTGGTGTCAGGGTGATGTTGGAATTAACTTAGACAAGTCCCCAACTGGCTTGCTAAATATTGCTTTTTTGGGGGGGGGGGAGGGGGAAAGCTTCCTTAAAAGGGAACATAATGTTTGGCTGATGCTTTATATAGCAGAGCTGGCTCACACTGAATTAATGTCCCATATGAAATTTAATGTTGCTCCCCCAGCTCACATCATGTTGTGGTACTGCCTCCTCAAGGTTGTCCCAAAAGTAGTTCCATCCCCCTCTTTTTTATATAAGTAAATTGTATGAAGGGAAGGACCTGAAATGGGAGCAGTTATGAGAGTTGCAATACCTTTGTTCTAGCCCCCATTGTCCTAAGAGGTGTGAGGCATTTGTGTTACACCATTCAGGGTTTGTTTTGGGTTTCACAGTAGCCCCCTAGATTTGGATAAGCCAGGCAGCTGCATGTCCTTCATATTGTGTTGAGCTGCCAGGAATGCGGGGAGTGGAAGAGGGTTAACAGTAGAAAGCAACAATTATTTTAGTGTTAGTATTAATGATGAAGTGAGGTTGACTCATCACCTTGGACCTTGCAATGAACATCCATGAGTTTTCATCAGGTAGTGGGAGATTCATGAACTGTTTGCTTGCATATGCATCAAAGGGCAGTAAGGAGTCATGCATGCCCATTACAAAGTTTGCTGAAGCTCCATGGCTGGTGGAATTTTTCATGTGCCATATAGACATTACATATGCATGGTAGAATTCTGAGTGATGGCATACAGGAGCTCTAGCAGTACTTAACAGTGATGTATTATAACTTAGTTAATGAATCCCCAAATATTGCAGGATATCTACATTTTAGTGCAATTAAGGGAGACTTTGTGGTTTATGATGTGCCTGGCAGTGACTGGTTTAGTTGCTCTAATGTCACAGAAAGCAGAAATGTCTCTGACTGCCATTGGCTCAGCAGCTCAGAGCTCAGAAACAAGCATGGCAGGCAGCAGGAAAGGCGATATAGAAGAAACGGGGGGTTTGGAAAGGAAAGGTCCTGAGAAAGCAGTGCCAATCCATCAAAGAAAGTAGGGTCCAGAGAATGGAGGGAAAGCAAAGGCTGGGGCATGGGAGGGGGGGAGAGACTGCAAAGAAAAGAAAACTGAGATGGCAAAATTGCTCATGACCAGGAAATGCAAAGGTGAAGAATTGCAAATTAACTAGCAATAAAGAGCCCTATCTTTGGCTATAGGCATCGAGTATTCACATATTTCAGGAAACTAATTTTCTACTAGATCTCTTGCTCGTGGCAATAATACAGTCTCGTAGACATGATACCATACATACTAGCCATGAAATGTTTACAAAGCCATCCCAATATCCATGGCACGAAGGAAGCAGAGCAATGTCACCTGAGCCACTATTGAGGATTTCTCTTAGCAGCTACTCCTGATATAGCTTAGCAACCTTGAAAATTCAGGCTAGTAAACACGAGATACTGAGAAAGCATATGGAGGGCTGATGCATAATCACTCTGACATTCACGTTTCATGATCTAAGCACACCATGGCAACCTGATTGTTTTCGCCTCCCATGTAAATTTGCTTTGCAGCCACACATATTTGTAGTTGTTGACTATCGCATACTTCAGTCTGATAGCTAGGAGAAGAGCTGGATGTGGGGGAGCTCTGATCTCTGCCAATAACCGAGGATAGCAGGTATACTATTTTTCCCTGAAGCAAGACAGAAACACAAGACTCTGTCTGGTTGTGTTTGCACTCACCAGTATGTTGCTAAGCCAAGCAGGCAGTCTGTTTCTGTCCCAGGATAAGACCTGGTTCCTGCCACCTCCCTCTGACCATGCTTAAAGAAAGCTGCCAGACTCAGAGACTCGGTTTAACCAACTGCTCCCTTTCCCAACTGTCCCTATAGCCCACACACCTCTGAAAGCATCACCCCAGCAACGCGTTCTTCAGTGTTCCAGAAGCCAACTGCCTTCCCAGATTGCCTGCTCTTTGGCAGATGTTGTGTCAGCAGACACATCTTCAGACACTTCTAGAAGTGTTTGTGTATGAGAGGGCAGGGCAAATGAGATGAACTGCTGTCAAGATCTAAACCAGATCAAGCAGAACAGCCATGCTTGAATCGGTTTTCTGCTAAGTAGCCATCTAAACGGGTCAGGCAGAATTGCTTTGTTTCACCTTGGGAAGCTCCTCCTGTCATGTGGATATTTCCTGCCCTGTCAAGACCCATTGAAGAGACTTCACTACACATGCCCTATCCTTGGGATGCTTGAACATCAATGGACTTGGAAGAGCAGTGTCATTTCTCTTGAGAATTCTCCCCCCAAGTGAGGCACACTGTTTGAAGTCTTTACTTACAAGGCTTAAACCCAGGAGTGAGGAGCTTCCAGATTTGCTGGACGAAGAGCCCACCAACCATGACCACTGATCACTTGGGCTGAGGCTATTGAGGATTAAGTTGAACAACCCTTGGAAGGGTACAGGTCCCCAGCTCCTGTTGTAAGGCAACTCACTTCCACCATGTGTTCAGTTTGTGGGTTTTTCATTGGAATGTTTTAATTGTGAATCTTAAGCTTCTCTTTTAATAGTTACTTGTTTTCATAAGAATCCTTATGAACAATTTTTAAGACTGATTGTTTGGTTTACTCCTTTGTAAGAATGTGTCCTCGAGGTTGTCTTCAAACACTCTTATTGTGAGACACAAATGTCATCCTGCTAGCCAGTGCACAATGTAGACCTATCAATGCGTATTTAATTTAACAACAAAGCCAGACAAAAGGCTTCGTGCACACTTGGGCATGTTGGGACTGCAAATTCCTCTTCCAAAGTTCATGCTATGTTATGTGCAGTACAAAAAAGCAGTCTGACCCTATGAAGAGTTGGCCAGAGGTCTAAGCCGAATAATTGTAGTGGACTTAAGCATGCCTAATGTTGCACAGGATCAGGCTAATATTTATTCAAAACATGGGAAAGCACCAATGAGACATATGAAAAAGCCGCTGTATATGGCTCACATCGCTTCCATTTTCTCCCTCCACTTTTGCAGGAAACTATGCCCCAGACACCAATATTTTCCAGCATGCTTGGTTCCGGATGTAGTGGGCAGGTGCAGCCAGATACAGGAGAGAGGAGTGGAGATCCTGTTTATCAAGATGGGAGTCTCATCTCTGGATCACTAGAGGCCCTGATTGAGCGCCTAGTACCCACCACAGACTATTATCCAGATGTAAGTAAACGGTTGGAGTTTTCCTTATTTTTTGTCACCGTTTTCATGGCCTGGGGACTTGAGGGTATGCAGAGCTGCTGGAGGAGAACTCAGTTCATCCTTGGTGTTTATAAGTTTATAACACTTTCCTAGGATTTTTAGTTAGCAATTGGTTGGTTGGTTGGTTGGTTGGTTGGTTGAAGCAGCTTTTCCCATGGAAACATGATGAGCGTATTTGCACAATACAGTTAAATTTCTTAAAAAGTTATTTTCTCTCCCTAAGGAGCTTTGTGATCTGTAGTTTGGGGGGAGGGGGGAGGGGGGAATCTCCTCCCTCTGACCAGAGGCTGTTCTCAGCATTATCCAGCTAAGGATCCTGGTGGAGAAAGCCTTGTAAAAAAAAGAAGAACTTCTTGTATAAAATCAGTAGAACTTTGCTGTGCAGATATGGCCTAGATACTTTTGTTTGGTTGTTGAACAGCCAGCTTTCTCACTTTGCTGGTCAGATCTTTGTTAGTATACGCTGCATTTTGAATTTTCAAGCTTTTATTATTCGGATTTGGACTGGGGAGACCTCAGCTCAAAGCTCACTTGGTAGCCTTAGGCTAGTCACTCTCTCTTTGTTAACCGGCTTCGTAGGGTTATTTTGAGGAGAAACTATACCAACCTGAGATACTTGGATTAGAAGAAATTCATGAAACTAAATATAAATAGCAAAACAGATGCAGATTTGCCGCATCCAGTGTTTTAAAAATGCACTTTCTGAGTTTACACCTTCGTAAATTCCTTAAGACAGCATGCTGATTGCCAGACCTCAGGGAAATGATTTGATCATGCCATTTCAACAAGGAGGGGCTTATCTCCCACAAAAATTAAGTGAATAAATTTTCATCTGAGGTGTGTTAGAAAGTATCCACCCTTAAACTGGGATGACATTTGGCAGTGGCTTAAGCCTCTTGGTTTGCATATTGCTGTGACTGTTGAGTATTTAAGTACAGTCATAAATTGGTTTTCAAACGCCTTGTGACTCGAAGGTTTTGGCTCCCATACACCGCAAACCCGGAAGTGAGTGTTCTGGTATGCAAACTTTTTTTGGAAGCCGAATGTCCGCCGTGGCTTCCGTGGCTTTTGATTGAGCGCGGGAAGCTCCTGCAGCCAATCAGAAGCTGCGCCTTGGGTTTTCGAATGTTTTCGGAAGTTGAACAAACTTCCGGAACGGATTCCATTCGAGAACCAAGGTATGGCTGTTCATGCATGCTGAGAGTGGGACAAAATGAAATGTCAAGTAACATGAGTATTGTTATATCTCAGAGGCCCCTGATTTCAGGGGCAAGCTGCATCATCACCTTTTAAAACAATCTCTTCATATTCTCCTCCTCCTGCTCCCACAGTCAAATCTGCCAATTCATGTACCTCTTGAAGGAGGAGAATGTCTGATATACTCAACTTTAGTCACATGATAAAAAGTTATTGAGTCCTGCCAGCCTATTCAACCAGTTATGCTGACCTGTAATTGCATTGCACCTAGTAGACAGGCAGTTCCCATGTATGTGTAAACCCTGGAAGGTTGCTTCTAAATAGCTTGCTCTATTCTTTCCTGACGTTTTAAATGCATACAGCACAACAAGAATGCTTGATCTTTCTTTAATGATGCTGTGGGGGGCATATTTATACTTCTATGTATCTATGAATTAGGGGCAAACTCTGAAGGTTGAAGGATTCCAAATATTAACACCAGCTTAAAAACAAACAAACCAAAAACTTGTCACATTTAAATTGGGACCAGCTTGAAACTGCATTTTTCTCCTGCTCCTGGCACTAGCCAGCCCTCCCCTGCTGGTTTCCCCTTTTTCCAAACAAAAAGTAATAGTTATTTTGGGGAAGAGAAGGGATAACCAGATGTGTGGTCTGTCCTTAGCTGGAAATTATGCCCTCCCACCCAAGTATATGTAGGAGTTTTCTTTGCCTCCTGAATTGAATCAGGAGACAGAGAAAAGCATAATCACCGTGGTCTTTGGCTATCATTTCCTGCCAAGGACTGTGAGATTTGCAGTTTTATCTTTCAAATCAATTCAAGAAGAAAGGGGAATTGCACAATCTGCAACAAGAAAATACAATATTTCAATAGTGGCCCATATATTACATGATCCTTGCCTTTTGGTGCCATTATCCAGGTTATACCCAAGATTGGTGTGCCATTCTTGCCCCATTTCATAGAATCATGGAGTTAGAAATGACACTGAGGATCCTCTAGTCCAGCCCCCTGTAATGCGAGAATAGGCAGCTGTCGCTTACGGGGATCGAACCTGCAACCTTGGCATTATTAGCACCACACTCTAACCAAGGGAGCTATCCAGCTGTCTCCTTACACTACTGACATAATTAACAATGGAAACAAAAGTTGTTTTTATGCAGTCTTTGTGCAGATTAAATTCTGGGGCCATGTTAGCACACCATTATAAGAACCAGCTACTCCCTCACCATTCCCAAGCAGAAATTGTCCCACGCCCATGTCTCCAACTGGATACAAATTCCAGAAAGGCACAAAAAGATCATTTGGAGCATAACAAGTTTTTTCCCCATCTTCTTCTGGCCATGCTGGAGGGTAACAAGAAAACTGCAAGGGTGGTTTGGGGGGGGGGAGGAGAGAGAAGAGGTACACACAGTTCCATAGAGGATTCTGTGCATATAGGGCTTCATTTGCCTAGTACCCGGGAAAATATGCGTACTCGCAAGACTTCAGCTTACTGGAGGTTAGGAATGGAATGTCCTTAGCTGCAACCCTTGATGCCCATTGCAAGCAAACATTTCAGAAAAATATTCAGACAAAACATTCTGGATTGAACAGAATGAGCTGAAGGGGAAAATATTTTTCTTCTTCTTCCTCAGAAGTTATCACTGCATTCTTGGTCCTTAAGTAACAGTTACTATTTTAGTCTTCCCTTTTACGTGTTCTCTTCCTGTTCTCCTCCACCCCTCCTTCAATTAAGCGTGTCTCTTAGCAACAAGTTTAGGAGCTATAGGAATCCACTTCGACCTTTTCAGTTTCAAGGCCCCAATCCTTCTTTTGTATCATCTTAAATTGGGCCAAGGGTTCATGGGGTTTTTCCCTTCTCCCAAATTCTCCCCAGCTGCTGGAAACTAAATGGTGTGTAATTTTCAACCCCAAAGATTCCACAGCCTCATTTTGTTTGCACAACCATGGTGGCACAGAAAAAATATCATGATAGTTGCATGTGGCCTCCATGCATGTTGGTGATGCATCTGAATAGTCCCTTAGAGGAGTGGCTGGTGCTACCATCTAGCATTAACTGGGTCCTGTGTCTAAAAATTGGAACATTTGTCCAGCATCTGCCCAGGATGATGTTTTGGTTGACACTGATAGTTGTCAGTGGTTGGTGAATGTTTGGAATGGTTTCATCTGTGTAAAACTCCCCGCACATAGAAAACAAGCCTTTTTGGCGGGGCAGGGTGGGGAAGTTGAGCTATCTCTCAGACTTTCAGCATTTCTGCATGCATGCATGGGTTTTTTGGCTTTTCATACGAGACAACAATTCTGCCTTACAGCCTGGGACCTGCAACCTTTGTAAAGCCTCATTTAGCGTGCTTCAACACTGTTGCTATATTTGGGTGGGATTCAGGTTACACTATTAATGTTGACTTGGGGCTCCTGTGCAACAAACCTCTGTCCCCACCCCACCGATTGGATTTTAATGATAAGGAAAGTGGCAAGAAGCACTGGAAAGTTGGAATAAGATTTGCTTTGCTTAACCTCTTCACAAACAAATCAGAATGAATGCTCCATAAACAGCCAACGTCTAACATGACTGCAAACCTTGTCCAAACAAATCAGGATGAATGCTCAATAATGAACAGGTCATCTAGATCCAACTTTCATTTCAGTCCTCCTCTTTCTAGAAGTCTATGAATCTATTTAAAAAGGAAACTGCTTCTTGATGCAACATAAGCAGTTTTGAGGGGGGACGGGACACTTTCAGCTGCAAATTCACTTGCAAACTTAATCGCTTCCCTCATTTTTTCCCATCCTAAGAATCAAATCAGTGTAGGTTGTTTTTAGAAGAGAACCCAACTTGTTTTTCAGCTCTCACCCTTTCTAAGTTCATACATCATTACTCAAGAGCTGGCTTGAGTCTGTCCTTTTTAAGGAAAGCACACGCAGAGGAATGCAGTACGTTAAGTGTTCTCTTGCTGTAATATGCATTTTGCAGTGTTTTTAAAAAATGACATTCAAATTACATTAATCACAGGCCACTAAAATAAGCTCATCAGCTGCTTCCCTCCAACTCACTGTTTGCAGACTTCCATACAGAACAAATTGTTCACTCCTGAACCACTCTCACAAAAATGGAGTTGGCAGTAGGGCTTGGCACACACGCCTCCATTCTGAAATGGATCTGGGCCCCCAAAACAATTGTGGGGTGGGGGAGAAAGCCCTAATGTTCTGTTAAAGTTTTAAACCCTAACCAAAAGGGGGCAAGGGAGAAAGGAGGCACTTTGTCTGCCCCCTCTCCCTCCGACCCCACTGCAGGCTGTTGGGATGTTGTTTGCCAGCACATTCCCTGCAGGGAACATACTGGTGAAGGAGACCCCCACAGCCAGCAGGACTGAGCCCTCTGCCCAGTGGGATTTAACCAAATCTGGTCACATTCCTAGTTTGCAGTGTCCACTCTAGGCTTGGCTGATGTATCAATACATCACCCTGGACCAGTATGAGGGCCAGAGCACGACGGCTGCTTCACCCGGTGGTATTTCGTGGGTGAAGCATCTGCCACTCCCGAGTACCTCTTCTCCTATAAACACATTTTAACAAGGGTGTGGCGGGGGGGTGTTTGGGATCAGGGCTTCTGTTGGGTGCAGACTGGGGGATTCAGATGTTGGTTTGGGCCCCCAGTTGCCTAACCCCCCTGTAAAGGAATACTGGATTATCTAAGGGCAAAGTACCCTCCCACATCCTTATTACCCACACTTCCAGCATGTCTGTGTGCATCATTGGCATAATGAGTGATAGTGTATTTGGGGCCACCTCACTGTAGACATTTAAAAGCCGTTACCGGGATTGCAAGTGGGCTGATTTTCTTATTTTACAGGGCTCTGGTACAGAACGTCTCAAATCACCTTCCCAGACACTGTTGCCTGCCTACACATGGCAGTATATGAGATTGGGGTCAGGTAGGCACAGGTTTGGACACACTCCCACATGAATACAATCAAAGATGTTGTGAAAGCTAGACCCACCCACCCCTCAGTGTCTTAAATGGTTTCCCTGGTTTCCTTTTAACATATGGAAACCTATTCAAAACGTTAGGGACGCTGCGTGTGCCAACCTTTTCAGAGAAGTGTCTCGCTCCAGACTGTGTGTGGGAGGGCTCAGCTGTAAAGTATTCCCCGCATAAAAGCCTCTCTGCACTTTGAAAGTTAACACATTAAGCAAAAGACATTGAATTTTGGGGTGCTCTCCAGGCATTGCTCCCTACCAAGCATTCTGAGCAGGCGCAACTCCAGGAACAGATTGCACCCAATTTATATTTGGTATAATTGACTTTCTTTCAAGGAGCTCAGTGCGAAATTTCTGCTTCACAACAACAGTGCCAGGAAGGTTTTGCTAAGAGATATTGGACTTGCCCCTGCACAACCCCACAAGTTTCAGAGCCAAATGGGAATTTGAACCTGAGTTTCTTGTATCTAACCCGACATTCTAGCTCATAAACTTGTGACTATTTGCATGGAGGCTGTTCCCCCCCCCCCCCCGCAGAAGTGTTTAGTCCTGGTTTTCCCCAGGTATTTCCCCATCTTCTGAACACTGGAGAAATGCCACATAGGCCTCTGTAGCTTCTTGTTTTGCAAACCTTTTGTCCACGAGAAACAAAACACGTTGGTTTCAAATGCAGAACCACTCCCAGAGACAGTGAAACCTCTGGCCTACACAAACAGTAATTGAGGCTGAAAAATTGTTACTAGACTAGACTTGTGCTATTTTAGACTGCAGGTGATAATAAGGGACGGAGTATGTTTGAATGGTTTCTCCCACAACACACATACACTCACACTGCACACTAGACACTAACCTGTAGAAGCAAAGGCTAGGCTAGAATCATCCTCCCAGATGTGCAAGATCTCTTGCGGCATTATGAAGAAAACAGTGCAAACATATGGCAGGAGAGCAGCAGGTGGAAGTATATTAGAACAGCGTACCCGCTTTGACCATTTTTCTCACCTAACAACTTGTGGAAGGTAACTCTCTGCAAGGAGTCTTTTATATCAACGGAGGCCCCTTGCATTTCTTAGAATGGAATATTCCTTCCAAACCTAGTTATGTTTGTTTGGGATTTATGTCTTCTGAATGTACAGTGTAAAAAACAAATTAAAAACCCACACACAATCTGATCTTTCTCTGCAAACAAGTTGGCTAATAATATAAACAAATTTTTAAAATGTAAAGGTATTAAAATATTTTCATGATTCCCTAGTGAACCTGGGAGTCTGATGCCTTAGACAACCTTCTTGACTGTGATAAATGGAGAAATTGGTGGCCCTGTCTGTATTGAGAGCCTTTGTTATTCATGGCTCCCATCCCACAGCCTTTGAAAAGCCAGTATTCGGACTGGAGTTATCTCAGCTTTATACAGCAATTTCCTGCTTTATGCAGACTGTTCAGAATAGAGTCCCAAACTAGAATTAGTGCAGGGGACTGAATTATAACATGCTGTCCTCAGAAGAATGTGGCCTAGCTTGTTGGAAGAAGGGTCACTGACAGGGCAGAGCTGCTTACATGTCAGATTCTTTGCACTGACACATGTAGCAAAAACTTCTGCATGAAATATGCCAACACCACTGTTACCAGTTTTCTCCAGTAGGGTGGGGGGGGATTTTTTCAGTTTTCCAAGATAAACCTCTTTCAGTTCTTCCTAACTTCAAGAGCTGGAATGGAGGTGGCACAAAGCAGCAGGCAATTGGCACGCTACCATGAAGGACTATAGCCACACCTGTCCATTTTCCCTTTCATTCCCTCCAACGTTTGACAGATGGAAACGAGGAACAGTCTTGCGGCACCCTTATTTGCAGATCAAGGAAGAGCCTAAGGCTCTTTCCCCCACTCAGATTTTGCCGAAGACTTTCCATCACAATGTTGCATCCATTAACTCCATAGCAGCCTGCCTGTCTTGCCCTGCCTTCAGAAGCAGGATATAATAATAATAATTTATTGTTTATACCCCGCCTATCTGGCTGAGTTTCCCTGCTACTCTATAGCTAACCAACTACAACAATTTCCTCTTAAAAACAAACAAACGTGAGAATGTTTAATCGCTCAGCGAAACTGGTTGTGCTCATTGCATAATAGCAGCAAGAGGAAAGATGTTGATCTTTCAGTATCATAATATGTTGGTTTGGAGACAGGAGATGGGAGTGGAAATAACTGAGGCCCATGTATGTGCGGTTGCAAACATGTGCTCTAGAATCAAAATGTATCTGCCCAAGCTCTTCCCAGCGCCACCTCAGGGTTTCAAGGGCAAAACATGGGAGATATAAACAGCCTCCTGATCGTTTGTTGCTGTTTACGGAGAAGCAGCCTTGGAAGCTGCAGTTGTGAGCTGAAGAGGGGGCAGCTTAACCTTTCCTGCTCAAAATCAGTCCCACACCAAGTTGTTGTCTTGCTCCCAGGGGGAAATATATGGAGTCCCCACATCTTTTCCTCTGCAGAAAATAAAACAGTCCAGGGAGGTTATTTCTAAGCAACCAGCAGCAGGAGGGGAAAGGATTAAGTACCCCTGCTCCAGCCTTTCCTCTCAAACAGCTGCTCTTCAGTTTTGCATTAAAAGTCAGCAAACTGCTCACAATATTCTTGTGAAATATTCAGTTTGGGTTTAAGTTGCAGGTGCCCAGGAGCAGGGTGGGAGACAGAGGGATGAAAGGCAAGGAACTCCAGTCAACATATATGTACGCGAGTAACAACGTTTTAAATAAGCACCCCCAGAAGCTCCCTCAAAGGCAGTTGTGGACTATGGGTTGGTTCCAGACTGTTAGTTGAACCTAGGCCTCACTGGGACAGATTAGACAAGACGCGAGGCCCATTGGTTTCAGTGGGAACTAAGTTTGACTAACTTAGTGTGCGTTCCAACCCAATGTTTTACCAATGACAACCATAACACAGATATCATCTCTGATAAATGCTTGTTGGAATCCTATGCCATCACAGAGAAAGTAAATCTACTCTATACAAGAGAAACAGGGAACCTCTGGCCCTCTTTGATGTTGCTGGACTTTTAGCTGCCTCATCCTTGATCTCTGGACACTCTGGCTGGGGTGATGAAGTCCAGCAACTTGGTTGCAGAGAACATGGAACAAGAACTCAACATGGGGGTGCTATCTTCAAGTTCATGTTCTGTAATGTTTGCTTCAATTTACATTGTGTCCTGACATCATTACAATGTGTGTGTTTTTGTCCCACCAAGCACTTATATAAAGTGAGGTGGGGGAAATGCTCATTGTAATGTCAGGGTAGGTGTTCACTTGAGCTAGAAGCTTGGGGGACACAATTCAATGCAGGACCATCTTCTTTGTCTATTACATCCAGTTCTGCACTTAGTACAGCTTGCCGGCAAAGGAAGGAGAACAGGGGAACAGGAAAATATGTGAAGCGTTTATCACTTGCAAACACGCAACTGTACCCTCTTGTCCTGTCACTGTCAGCTGAGTCAATAATTTGTCACAGCAAGCTTGGCTATCTTTGTGTGAGCAGACAGATTGGAGAATGAGTCTTTTTTCCTGCTTTGGTCAAAGGTTTTTGACTTATCAGAACTTGAAACTGTGCATTAAATAACAAGAATGAATTGATAACCTTCCACCAAAGAAACAGATGTCAGCTGCTAAACCCCCCTCCCCCAAAAAAGATACCAAACTTGCTTAACAAGCTTAGCTCCATTTTACAGGTGGTTCTCAAATATCAGCAAAGGAAATCAATGACATTTCTTTATTATTATTATTATTTATATCATAAGATCTCAGGACGATTCACAGAATAAAATACAGGATAAAAACAAGTAAATAAGTGAAAACAAAACAGCAAGACAATAACTCCCCCTTCCCACAGACACATTTACATGGCTGTAGAATATTAATCAGCCAAAGGCCTAGTTGAAGGGGAACATTTTCGCCTGGCACCTAAAAATATATAATGAAGGAGCCAGGCGAACCTCCCTGGGGAGAGCATTCCACAAATGGGGAGCCATTACAGAGAAGGCCCATTCTCATGTTGCCACCCTCCAGACCACACGTGGAAGGGCCTCAGATGATGGACACAGAGTCTGGGGCAGTTTATATGGGGAGAGGCGGTCCTTCAGGTAATGCGGTCCTGAGCCATCACTTCAAACATAAAATTAAGATTTCCAAATAGTATAGAAACATCCCCCCCCCCACAAGTCAGCAACAAGCATAAGAAAACAGCAGTGACTGTAGCAAAGAACTTGAGATATAGATGTTCCTAAGGAGCAATCACGTGAGCCAAAATACACATGTGAGACAGGCAACAGCCCACACTTACCCTCTCTAAATGGCAGAATCCCACACAGAAGTGGGAACATCTGCAGAGAACATTTAGAGAAGCAAGATGATGTGATTATATCCCATACCACTTCTGCTTCCACTTGGGAACAGTTGTGGGTTACTGGCCACATAGAAGCTGCAAGGGCGTATATAAACTAGGCCTAAATCAAGGGGGTGAGGAACTATACCAGTCTGTTGTTTTCTTAAGGTTAAAGTCATAGCATAACTGGACATACGTCATTTGTCTCCCAAACTAAACAGGCATACTGAACATCATGAAACCCAGTGCACATAGCCTTCTCCAACCTCATATTAATGTTCTATCAGTCATGCTTCCTTCGTGCTCCACTCCCTTCTACTGTGATGAGTTCCAGACCTCTGAACATATGTTGCCCCAGCTATTGATAATTCATCTGTCCTCAAGCAAGTTTAAGATCTTAGTAATTCTTCCATAGATCATAAGTTCTGCATTAACATGATGGATTCACTTAGCTAGGCATTAAAATGTAATGTATGATGGGGTTTTCTATAAAAATAAATGGTCATATATTTTGCAAATGTTAGCTGCTCATCTCTGGCAATAAGATGGAGAGAGGGGAAGAGAAGTGTTATATTCTGTTCTGCAGATTTAAGGAGATTCATCTACTTCTGTTCTAGTACTCAGCTGCTGTTAAAAGAGGTGGGAGAAAAATACACTATGTGACTGGTACACACTATGTGGGCTGATACATAAAATATGTAGGATTTTCAAAGGGAACATTTCAACATTACCTTAACTATCTTCAAAGGCTGTGGCCTAATCACAAATGCACACTTGTATGAATCATGGATCCTGCAGCCACCACCCAAATAATTGGCTTGACCACCATAGCCTTGAAGGGGAAAAAACAAAAAACCCTACAGGATTTATTTGCGTATTATCAGACCCATGCACATTGTCTCTAGTGATTTAATTGACAGGTAGGGCACTTCCAAAGGCTGCTGTTTTCAGGTGGTATTCAATAGCATACTGGCACATTCAGGTTGCACAGTTAAAGCTGACATGGAGATTTTGTGTGACAAAACTGCTTTCCACAAAGATTGGACTTTTTGCAATAAGGAGAATGATGGGGAAATAAATATTGGAAAGTGTGGGATAAAACTTGCTTGATGTGAAGTCATCTAACCTCTTCACAAACAAATCAGGATGAATTCTGAATAAGCAAGTCATCTATAAGGGGTCTTAGATAAGGTTGCCATATTTAAAAAGGTGAAAATCCGGACACAAAAGTTGTTGAGCTTTCAGCTACTTCACTGCCCAGATGTATGGCAACCCTACCTTAGATATTACATCTCAAACAAGAAGGTGATGTTGAGGCAAGGCAGTTAGAAATGATCTACTGACACACTATGTATTTTCATGCATATTTTTCTTGGACAGCTAGGATTTTCCCACTGCAGTCCAAAGGCAAAAATATGAAAACAGAAACCTCTTGCATACAATAATTATATTAAAGTCTTTGCGCAATAAATTCAGTTTTCTGCTTTCTGGCACTACAACAACTTTGAGAGAATGAATCACAGTCAGTAAAAATAAAATTTCCCTTGGTGGTCTTGTGGCTTTGACCATAGGACAAGCAGGGAGAGAAAGAAATCCTCATTCACTGACAGATGGAGAGTCAAGGGAAGCATAGAGGATGAGGGGTCTGGAGAATGAGAGTATTTGACCTTGTCAAGCAATGGTACTGTACACAGTGCTAGGCAATTTAGTAGAGATTGCTCACGAATTATACATGTCTACTGTGCTGTTGGCAAGCTGTGCTATGTACTGGTATGTTGTCTGTACGATGAAATGTTCAGATTAAACTCAGAGTTGAGGGTGTACACCAGATCCTTCCAGCCTACGTCTGCACTTCTAAGCCCATTTATAAACTCCATTGAATTCAATAGGACTTCTGAGTAGACCAACTTAAACTGCATTGGTACTAACTATATGGGAAGTTACTTGGGGGGGAAGGGATTACAGTACTCTGGGAATCCTATGCCTGCTTAGAATTAAGTTCCATTGATTCTTAACATTTTCACAAAGATTCCAGGAACAAAGATCCATATTTCTCTTAGAAGGAAGTCCATACTCCTTACTCTAACTCTGTGCAGACTAAGGGGGAGCTGTAAACACAAATTATTACACAGAACAAAGACTGCAGCTCTAAACTAGAAGTTTTGTCTTACTTACATCAAGCTTGGTTCACACATGCATGGTTACTATGTGATGGCTGACACATGTAAGGGCTTGCATGTGGAAGTGGAGTGATCTAACACTACAGACAGAAGAAGAAAATTATTTACATTTGCAGGCCTCCTCAGGCGTTAAAAATGTGTACAATGAACACATACAGAAGGGGCCAAGCTTGCAGGAGGGTCTAATGAAACACAGGTTATGGCAGTGCCACTACTACTGTGCAATCATTGTACCTGCTTTGAACACCTTGTAGTTATTATTATCATCATTATTTATATATCGCCTTTTGCCCAGACCAGGACTCAAATCTTACACGGCCTGCAACCAAGAAAAATCACACCATCTGTAGAAAAATGTAGTTATCTGTGTATGTAAATAAGTGGTGCAGGCCTTACTTCCAAGTAAACTGTGGTTAAGATCTGCTGGTATGAATTTCTGAGAACATAGTTATATTGTTAGTATGAAACTCAAAAGCTTAGTCTATTTTGGTTGGTGGTTGTCAAAATGATACCCGTTATCTGATGATTAGATTCTAACCCTGAGAATAAGACATTCACACGCCCTTTTTTATTCTTTTCCTTGTCTTTCCAACGCAGAGGACATATATCTTTACCTTCCTACTGAGTTCCCGAGTCTTCATTCACCCCCATGAACTCCTAGCTAAAGTGGGGCAAATCTGCCTTAAACAGAAGCAGCAACTGGAGACTGGAGTCGATGCAGACAAGGTATGTGGAATTCAAAGCTTCTCACTGGTTTAGAAGCAATGTATTTTTCTTCTTCTCTCCCTGAAATCTCTACATCCTCTTGTCAAACAGGTTCTTCCAACTAACAGATACAATCTCCTAGTCACCAGCTGTACCCTTTTGCTAACCTATTCGTTTTTGCACGTGCTGTATATACTCAGTAATACGAACTTTACTGCCAGTTGTACTTACTGGAACTGGCACAGTGTTATTGCTGTGGGTAGGAGAACTGAATCTCATAGCTGTTTTCGTGCGCTGAGCAACCACGTTGGCTGTTTTGCACAGCAATGCTGCCAGGGTAATTGCATTTACATCGTGATAAGCACGGCTGTGTAAGTCTTCCTTGAAACAAACACCTGTAAATTTCACCTTAGCAGCCATTACTGAACGTACTTAGGCATCATCTGAGTCAAATGTTAAAACAAACAAAACATTATCTGTGTGAGACTTTACAGGGACAGCATCACGTGCAAGGTGCCTACAAATGCAGCAATCTCAGGCAATAGATTCTGGGCATGCTAATGCTACACGTGTAGGAAACACACTGCAATTTATACCTAGCAACAGCCATTAATTTATTTTATGTCAGACTGTTGCTAAAAGAGTGGGACCTGTTAGAAAAATGGACGGGGGGTTGGGAGAGTTGCTAGACTGGGATAGCTCAGTCAGTAGAGCATGAGACTCTTAATCTCAGGCTTGTGGGTTCGAGCCCCACACTGGGCAGAATATTCCCATATTGCAGTGGGTTAGAGTACATGAACCCTCGTGGTCCCTTCCACCTCTACAATTTTCTGATTCTATGAACTAGCATTGATTCTACCTATTATAACTCCTGGTTCCACTTACCATTCACTGTCCTGCCTCGCCCCTCACCAAGCCCATGGGCACCACAGTCCCTAAACAAATAAGTTGCTTTAACAAGCCCAGCATACATATACATTGGAATTGATCCTCATTAAACCATGTAAAATGAATCAGTCCCTTGGTTTCTCCATGCTTCTGGGCATCCCCACCAGAAGAGAATGGCTAAGGATAGAAGAGTGATGCACTGGAGTCTAGACTCTAGGAGTCCTATCTCCTCTGTCCTTTCAAAAGCTTGCAAATATTTATTTTCAGGACAGTATTTGAAGTCTTTCTTGTGTCACACTGTCATATTCCAGAGACATTAACTCTTACATAGTAAGAGGAAATGGTTATGTATCAAGATTCTGGTTTCCTCTTCTCAAATGTTGGAGGAGACTGCATTGTTTATTGCGTCTGTTGAGCTTTCTTCAGCAGAACAGTTCTTGTTTTAATTTTGTCCATGATCTGCTAAGGAATCGTGAGTTCTGAAAAGTCATAGTGCTGCCAGTCAAAGCTTACTACTGTGCAAAATAGATGAAACACACAAACAGAGCTCTGATGCACTGTGATAAGGTACCTGTATAAACAAACTATTAAATCAAATACCGGTTGGGTGGCATGTGAGCAGAAACCCTGGCAAGAAGCCAGGCTTTGTGGTTATGTGCTTATACTTATCATTCCTTTATTAATGACATCACCAGCCACTAGCAAAATCTCACAGAAAATGTTCCAAGACACAAGCTGACAGATTAAACACAAACTTTAGCCCTGCTCAGATCCACTTGGGAGGCTTTTGCTGCTTTATTTGACAAGGGAGAGGGTCTCGGTGTTTTAAAATACCACGTTTTCATAAATATGTCAGAGGGCTGTTAACCCTGCCAGAAAGTAGCAAGTTAACTTTACAAGGCTATATAATAGGGAAAAGGGGGGGAAATCAGATATTGCCCTCCTTAGGGAACTGCCAGAATGTAATTTGTAGCTAGAATCCAGAAAATTGCTGAAAAGGTAGAACTATTTAGGACCTGCGTGCATGATAGCTGTCAACACTGTCCACCCCCCACCAGTAAAGCAAAGGACTGCTGTTTCATTTCTTTAAGTTTTCCACTGCCAAAATTTTCCACTGGGTATGTGTCAAAATAGCAAAAATATTTGTTATTATTATTGTTTTTTAAAAAACCCACTCTCTTCTCTTTGAACAGTTCAGTTTGATTTATTGCAGTGTTTCTCGAACTTGGGTCTCCAGCTGTTTATAAACTACAGTTCCCATCATCACTGACCACTGTGGTCCTGCTGGCTAGGGATGATAGGAGTTGTAGTCCAAAAACAGCTGGAGACCCAAAGTTTGGGAAACACTGATTTATTGTGAAACTAACAAGCATCTCAATGGGGAGGACTGATACTTTCCCAGAAGAACTAATTGCCTAAAATAGGGGGGGGGGCTGTGACCTTTCAGATCCCATCTACAGCTGCCATCACCCCTGGCCATTATGGGCCCTGCTGGTTGGAGATGATGGGAGATGAGAGTCCAGCAATGTCTGGAAGTCCACATGTTCCCATTCACTAAACGCTTCACTGTATCTTGAATTTCTCCACCCTGGTAGGGAGAGGAATTGGGGAAACCATTTCACCAGTTTTCTTTCAGGAGGAGGAAGAGTTCTCCAACTATTCCTTGTGGGTGTGGCTCATCATTAGCACAACTTCTTTGTCTCTTCCCCCCTGAATATTTTTTGTTGCTGATGCTGCAGATGTAGCAACTGTGCTGGCAGCTTGGCCATCAATTTGCATCCCACCCAAAGTCCAGCACTGCTCAAGGGTGGTTGGACGGGGAAATGGTGGTCAACATGATAAATGGCAGAGAATTCTGCAAAATGGACTGCTTTGGGGGGGAATATCTTGACCATTTTCTTAGAAAAATATGTATTCTGAGAAATTTTGGCTCAGTTCTAGTTTTTGTTCAACCATCAAGTGCACAGTAATCAAGCACAGTGAAATTAAAGGATATATATTCACATGTGAACCTGGTCTTTGGAATTTTAGAAGTAGGCAGGGAGGGTGATTGGCCATTATCCTGCTACCAACCCTTCAGAGACTGCTGCTTAAGTCTTCTGTTTCTCCTTCCACACATCACTCTTTCCTTGTTAATCTTGGGGACAAATGTTAAAACACAGAGTCTAGCCCAGGAACTGCCAGTTTCCATTTTCTGCCCTAGATGCTGCATCTGCTGGGTGGTAGAACAGTTATTCCTTGCAGTTCTTAAACAATCCTTTTCTAGAATTCCTATGTAATCTGGTTAGACGTTAATATCGCAAGCAAGTGGCTAAGTCTCCAGCAGATTGTCTTTGGTGAGTTGTTAAGAATCAATAAAGAGCTGCTGGGTTATTTTTCTTAAAACAAAGAACAAAAAAACCCAAAGCCTGAAATACTGGAGCCTAAGGATCACTTTCTTTATGTTAAGCAATCGCAAGCCATTTTCTTCTTTCTCCGGAAAGGGAACCTGTCTGCTTGACATCCCCTAGAGCTCTGTAAATTCCCAGGCAAGGGTGGAAATCACGGAAGGAATAACCCTTCCCTTGCTTGCTTGAAGTGGCTGTGGGTGGGGAGAAACTTGAAGCAACTGGCTGGAATGACAAAGAAAGGAAATGGTTGCTCCCCCAAACTTTGCTGAGAGCATTATTTCTGCTCCTTCTCACAGCAAAACTTAAATCATTTTCTCTCGCTGAGAACTTTAATTAAATGTCATTAGCTAATATACCCAAGCAGGGTGAAGAAAAGGTACAACAACAGAGCTATTAGGAGAAATGAATAAGATGCCCTGTGACCAAGGAGTATTTAGGAAGTCCCCACCCTCCAAAGCCTGGATGAAGCTCAAATGACTCAGTAATGAAGGAAATCTAAATTTCCATCTCCCTCCAAAAAAGGCTCCATTGGAATCTGCTGATACTAGACTCCAACCAATATGTAATGAAACTAGAAGAATGATCTTGCCTCATGACACCCGATTACAACGTAGAAAGATGTGCATATTCCTTGTATAGTAAATGCACTGGATTTTGGGAAGTGCTGGAAATGACACTTGGTCCAATTCAAAGTGCCCAGTGGGCATTTGCTACAGGAATCACCACCTATCTTAAATATTTACATTGGATTTAGGAACGAGTTAGACCGTTGGTCTATGCGGCTCAGTAACTGGCAGAAGGTCTTAGGCAAAAGTCTTTCATAAGCCCTACCTGGAGATACCAGGTTGAACCCAAGATCTTTTACATGTCACGAATACGTTCTGCCACTGACCTATGTCCCTTCCCACTTTGCAAGCTTGTTCAAAGGGCTGGTTTTGATTTTCAGAACCCCAAAAGCCCTGGGCCCTCAGTATCTGAAGGAGCACCTCAGCACTTTATTCCTCCATATCCGTTATGATATTCAGAAGCAGCTCTGCTTAGGACAATCTTTGCAAACCTGGAGTGCTTTCTCATTGTAACTCTCCCTGAGAAACCCACCTGGCAAAACCTTCTTTTGTTTTGGTTTTAAGAAAAAAAAAACAGCTTTTGAGCTGCCAGAGAAGACAGTGCCTTTCCTTCACCATGCCTGCTTGTCTGTGTGTGTTTGTGGGGCGGTTTACTATGCATTTTAAATATCATGCATCAAATTGGCATGAAACCACATTTATTTTTATGTTGATATTTTGTAAGCTGCTATGAGGACTTGCAGCGCTGCGGGACGCATAAATAAATGCCACAATCCAGCCACAGTTAAAAGCGCCTTCGCTTCCTGTTGTTTTTAACGAGGAAGCTAAGCATACGCTTAAATCAACGTGCTTAACTTTGACTGGCTAATGTCTAAAACAAAATAAACCCAAGGGATGCATTGTCTGTATGGAAGAAGCTGGAGACAGAGCTCTCTGACAAAATGTGCTTTAAAGCCGTAGAGCAAGCCGCTAAAACTTTGCATCAAAGGTATCCCTTAATTTTTCCTTTCTTTTATGGCTGTTGTGTATGCACTTGAGACAGCTGAAAGAACCAAGCTGCCCCCCCCCCAAACACACACCACACTGATGCAAAGCCTTGAGGATGCTGAGCTAAGCATTAGACACACCTGCTCTCTCTTTTTAATGCTCTCTATTTGGAAGAAAGACAGAAAGGGATTTGTAAGACCAGCTGAGACTTTAGCCTAACACAACTTATTTTTCCTTTTGTTTTCATATGCCACTGTTAATGATTCAAAGATTTGGCACTTGGGGTGCCATCTGGTTACCCAGAAGTCACCGTCAAGGAAAGTCTCCTTGGCTCGTTTGATTAACCACTCTGCATTCTTTCCTAGGCAAAGCTTAAGTCCTTTGCTGCCAAGATCATTCAGCTCCTGAAAGAATGGACTGAAACCTTCCCCTATGACTTCCAGGATGAAAAATCTATGAAAGAGCTGAAGGAAATTGCTCACAGGATCACACAGTGTGATGAGGTAAGGGGGGAAACGAACACACACACATGCAGGTGGAACAGACACTACCAGAACCTGTCCCAACCTATAATTTGTCTTGACAGGTTGCAAATATTTGCTAGATGCATTGAGGCTCCACAACTGCTGACCATGACTTGCCTAAATGGTATTAACAAGAGCAGAGGAGTTGGCCCCTTCCGCCTTTTCAGGGACCTCTTACTCCTCAAATTTTATGTACAACCACACCACCACTATTGAGTAACTCATGGTACTTGCTACCATTGCAACCCCCATATGGGACCAAGTCTTAATGTAATCCTAGCAATGAGAGAGCCCAAACCACTATATCTGTGTTTCCCTTGCTTCCCCTAATCTCAAGTGGTGAAGACATGAGCCCAGAAAGGCCACTAGGGTTGGGGGAGAGGGAGGCATAAGTTGGCATGGGGCATGGGGTGGTGGGGGTGGCCCGCCCCACGTGTCATTCCAGGGGGGTAAAAAAAAAAAACCCAGCGGATCATCGCAGCACTGATTGGCCCCCCATGTGGATCACCGCCACACCGATCAGCCCCCCCAGGTGGATCACCGCTTTGCCAATCGGCCCCCCTGGGCGAATCAACCCACCCCCGGGTGCACGGCATATGCGCCGCTCCAGGTGCCCGAGTAGCTAGCTCTGCTACTGCTTAGGGAAGCCCTGAGATTTGCAGAAGAGCAAAATGTTGTGTTTTTTTAAATTAAAACAAAAACAGGTCTAAGTGGGTAGTCCTCTGCTACACCAGAAAATACAGCTAAATGAAAACTGAGTGCACTCAGTAGTCAAGGACACTAAGAATCAATTGGAATAGAAAAACAACAGTTGGAAGAGAGTGGAATGTAATGTCTGGAAGGAACGGCTGCCTAAAACCCTGAATAGAAGCACTCCTTCTAGGGAGGGAGGGTACACTGCAACATTTTATTGCAGGCTCCACTTGTGTGGCATACTATTGGATAGTGCTTGGATGTTCACCATATTCCTGTAAGGCAACTGGCCTATTATTTTTTCTTACTGCTGGTGTGATGTCAACATATTCCATTAGAATTTCCGTATCTCACTGTAAAAGTAGAAAGGGCTTCTCAGATAGGTTGATGGCCATCTGCTTTAGCTGAGTTTCTTGCATTGCAGAGGGTTGGACTAGATGACCCTTGGGGTCCCTTCCAACTCTACAGTTCTGATTCTATATGAATTGTCTGTGCATCAAGGCACAGCCTACCAAGTGGTGCCAAGGTACAAAATTCACACATGGCCTTGTGATTAAAAGCTGCCAATTTCATCTTATTTTATGTTGATAAATACATTCTGAAAACACACAGGGAGGAGGGGATAAAAGGCTCTAACTAGATCCTTACAGCATAATCCTAAAGTTGTTTACTCCAAAGTCTAGCTGAGTTCAGTGGTATTTGCTTCCTGAGTCTATGTCTGTTTAGGCATGTTGCCTAAATACTATAAAGGGTAGAGCGAGAAGAATGCTGTCTTTTTGAAATGACTGTTCCAAATATATATTTGAGATTGGCCCCAGAGGTTTAAGAGTGACAGGCATGTGTCTGTTTAAAATGTTAATGGCCAAAAAGACTAGAGTGGTGCAACAACTTTGGCAGCAATGCATGATGATTGGAGGTGATGCTTTGATATTAAAGGTGTTGTCAAGAGTAGCATGACAAGTTTCAGGATGTCAGCAATGTTGTTTACCTGCATTTTATTAAGCTGTCACAACCTGAAGGCAAGAGGAAATGATTAAGGCTATGTGCTGGGTTTTTAAACGGTGTGCGCAAAAACACTTGTACAATCTTACACTAAAGGAAAACAATTATATTTTGTTTTATGTTCAGTTTTCATTAACTGAGTCATTTTTAAAATTGGAGGAAACACTCCTGTCTCCTCCTTGTCTCCCATTCATCAGCGAGGCTATACCTGAATCAAGAATAATAAGTTGTAAAAATAATTCATCTTGGTAAAGGCCTATGCTTCTCAGGCTGTAAAACATGCCTACAAATATCCAACAAGATCAACAATAGCATGCGAGCCAATAAAATGGGGACAGGGAGAGTTGTGTATATGTGTTTGCATACCTATGCAAAAGAACAATAAAATGCTATAAGGCCACCTGCTTATGATGTACAATTTCTGTACATGTCTACTCAAAAGTAAGCCCCACTGGCTTCAGTGTGATTTACACTCAGGTAAATGTACCTAAGGGACGCGGGTGGCGCTGTGGGTTAAACCACAGAGCCTAGGATTTGCCGGTTCAAATCCCCGCGACGGGGTGAGCTCCCTTTGCTCGGTCCCTGCTCCTGCCAACCTAGCAGTTCGAAAGCATGTCAAAGTGCAAGTAGATAAATAGGTACCACTCTGGCGGGAAGGTAAACGGCGTTTCCGTGCACCGTTCTGGTTCGCCAGAAGTGGCTTAGTCATGCTGGCCACATGACCCGGAAGCTGTACACCAGCTCCCTCGGCCAATAAAGCGAGATGAGCACCGCAACCCCAGAGTCGGCCACGACTGGGCCTAATGGTCAGGGGTCCCTTTACCTTTACCTTTAAGTGTACCTAGGATATCAGCCTGACCTAGACATATGTCTTTTCACTTGAGAGCCATGTGCAATCCTTCACATTTAAGTGGTAACAATGTGGGAACATCAAATCACCATTTGAAAAATCAGATCTTGCTGATCTGAAGATTGCATACTCACTCTTGTCAATATATCCCCAAAATGCAATATCTGAAGTATCTGTGGAAACAAAGGGGAGGTTGGTGCATGCCAGAGGTGCCAAGCTCTGCCCGACTTTGGGGAGGAGGCCCTTTGTGTGTGCATGACATCACACATGTGACACTCTGCGAGGAGGCCCAGTGAGATTAACCTCTGCTGTAGGTTTAGGCTAGCCAAGGTAACTCTCTCAGCCAATGTTTCTGATGTCTAGGGCATCCTAGGGACATGGTTCTACTTGTCAGACTTTTGTGCTTATATTCATATGCTGTGGTAACATAGCAGTCAGGTAACAGCCATAAAATAAACATGCTGACATTGGCAATGTCGCTTGCCGTGGAGACTCAAGGATGACACAGACAGGCTGCTTTTGCTGCCTGAGTAAGCAAAGATGCAAGACATACCAAGGATTTCAGACATGAGCAGGGCCCAAGTGTATTGCGTAGGCAGTTTTTTAAAGTCTCGGTGCAGTAAGGAATACTAAAGGAAGATCAAGCAGCCTACATGCCTATGCAAGCAGGATGACAACATTTATCAAGGTTCATGGCCATGTGCTTGAGGTCACAATTGAGCAACAAGCCAAATTAACACAGACGTCAGCAAGGAGAGTTTATGCAGACTCATTCAGTTGTGGCAACGTTGTCCCTGCTTATATATGTAACTAGAGCTTGTTTCTAAGGTGAGAGGTTATTGTTCCTCTTCCGCAGGACTTTAGCAAGGCTATACATTACACAGATAACATGGAAAGCAGCCTGAATATTCTTGACTAGATGCCTCTATCAAGGAAAGGTGGAGCATCTTAATATACTCACTTCCCCTCATATTCTCCTGCATTCCTGATGTTGCAGCTGATGTTGAACTGTGCTTTGGGCTAGGAGTCACTGAGCTGGCTCTTTCCTTGATTGTTAGCTCCCATGTGATTTGAAACAAAACTGTCCAACTGTTAACTGAACTAGAATCATAGAGTTGTATAGTTAGAATCCTGAGGCTCATGTAGTCCAACTCCTTGCAGTGCAGGAATATGCAGCTGTCCCATGTAGGGATCAAACCTGCAACCTTGGCATTATCAGCACCACACTCTACCCAACTGAGCTATCCTAGGCTAATTGCTGGCTGGCTGGCTGGCTGGCTGGCTGCCTAAGACTATAAACTGTAAGCTGTTCTAGTAGTTCTATATGACTAGAATGGATTGGCAGTTGTAGCTTCCATTCAGGGGCATTGTTGACTCAAGTCATTTAAGTACTTAGCATCCTCCCTGTTTTGGCTGGTATCTCAAATCACCTGGCAATCCTACACAAATCGGAATGATGATACAATTCATCTGCAAAAAGCTCTCCAATCCTCCTGAGGGCTTATTCAGCACATGAACTGACTTGATACTGAATTCTAGTATCCCAGTCAGAAATCTTTCCAGCGTAATTCTGATGAACAAAGAGGCAATCTAGAATTTCCTCAGCCAGGAATAATTAACAACAGTCTGTTTTATTGATTAGGAAAATGGAACTGTGAAGAAGATCATCAGCCAGATGACGCAGAATCTACTGATGACTCTTGCGGCACGCAATCAGTACCAGGAGATCAGAGAGAAGTTCCGCCAACCCGTGACTGACAAAGGCACAATCCTTAAAACAAAGCCTCAGTCGTCACAGAAGGACATACTGAGTGTTTGCTGTGACCCACTTGTCCTTGCGCAGCAACTCACACACATTGAGCTGGTGAGTTCCTTTATCTTCCATCTACTTGAAGGTTTAGCAGGGCCAGGGCAAGCTGTTCTCCAGCCGAGCTGAAGGTTTCTCAAACCTTCAAGCTGTAACTCAGCCGAACTCCAGCAAGCTGAGTTACAGCTTGAAGGTTTGAGAAAAGTGGCTTCTAGATATAAGAGAGACTGAAGGAAGAAGGGAGCCTGGCAGTTACAGAGACAATGAACTCACTTGAGTTGGAGAGAGAAAAGACCACTTGCGACTGATCACTTTCTCACTCCTGCAACCTCTTTTAGGAGATTCATTGCATTATCAAACTCTTGTTCCTGACTTGGAATATCTCAAGGGGGAAAAGGGAGGGGGAAGAGGAGTCACAGTCAACGTCAGAAGCTCACTGTCTTCTAAATTGTTCAAATGAGTACTTCAGCCACTCAATCCATCCCTACATGCTACCAGGACTGGTTTCAAATGTCATCTCAGAGCAAGGCTAACACACCCAGAGCCTGGGAGAGACAAATGAAAGCAGAAATCTTTCCCAAGGACCACCTCTCTTAAAGGTCCAACCACATATCTGCATTACTGTTCCCTGGTTCCCTGACCTGGAGTAAGGGATGCCAAATATTAACCTGGAAGCTCTGCTGGTGAATATGCAGCTGTGAAACCACCTGCCCCACTACATCAATGGTTATTTTGCCCACCATCACTCCTCTCTGCTGTGCTGGGCAGCTAGAATCTGCTTGCTAGAGCAGAGAAGGAAAAAAGGGTGGAGAAAGGACCAATGGAGCAGCAGGGTGGGAAGACACTCTGCCACATGTCTTCTCACTGCTCTACGCCCTTACAGAACCTCCTGGTTAGCAACAAGCAATCCAAGCTGATGCATTTCAAAAATTCATTCCTGCACTTTCCATAAGCGCCAACTTACACTGCATACGCACAATGCATTTAAAGCTTGTGGTCCCCCAAAAGGAATCCTGAGAACAGTCATTTAAAGGTGCTGGGAATGGTAGTTCTGTGAGGGGCAAACTACAGATCCTGGGGTCTTTGGAGGGCAAGCAGTGTGCTTTAAATGGATATTCACAGCCTTAGGCACAACTAGAATCTGGTCAGGCAGTACTGAAAAATCTAGACAAAGAAAGGGGTAGCAAGAGAGAAAGCAAACTCTTAAGTATGCGTGCGACTCTGTGAAGCAGCACAAGGTGTGTCTTTTACAGGACCCAAAGCCTATTCTGTTAAACAGATGTCAATTAAGATCTGGCCCGACAGGGCTGGCTGGCTGTCAATCCACAGCTCTCTGTTCCTCATATGTGTGCTTGCAAAATTGACGGCCTTTGCTATCTTGCTGTATCTAGGAGAGGGTGAGCAACATTTACCCCGAGGACCTCATGCAAATAGTCAGCCACGTGGACTCCCTGGATAATCACAAGGTGCGTACAAAGTGTGAACGCAGTGGCAATTTGAAACAGGGCTACAGGTAACATTGTGTGCATGGCTTATAAAGGTGTTTAAAATTAAAGGCAAACTTAGCTTGTTTCTGTAACAGTTTAAGTGTTATAGTTTTCCCCAAAGAATCTTGAGCATTGTAGCTTGGTAAGGGCACGGTATGGGTTAGGATTAAGATCCTTGGCCAGAAATCCCTAGTCTACTATCTCCCACCCAGAACTACAGTTTCCAGGATTTCCTCAAGAAAGAGGATGACTGTTACAGCAGACTAAATCCATAGCACGGTGCCCTCTAGATATTTTGGACCACAACTCCCATCAATCACAGTCCTGTGGTGACTGGAGCTGATGCGAATTTTGGTACACAACAACTGGTGTAGACATTCCATCAATAGCTCCCTATGTTCCTATGGCACATACCAAGTTTTTGTACACCCGAGAATCGAATGTGAAGAAATAGGAAAATTATCACCTTCAGTATTTAGCTAGTTTCTTGAACTATCAAACCATCAAGCTGCACTTGGATATGGGAGAATAAAGAGGGGTGTACTCTAAGAGAGGGATAGCCAATGTGGTGCCATTCAGATGTTGCTGAACTCTCAACTCTCAGCAACCTTGGTAAATGTTCAGGGATTGTGAGAGCTGAAGTCCAATATCATCTGTAAGGACCATAGAGCTCTGCTCTAATAGGACAAGTCCTGTTAAATAAGCTGAATGCACTGATTTCTTTGCTGGCTGAGGCTTTCAGTACATTTTAATATATTGTGCATACATATAGCATGACAGACGAAGGAGGCCTTTTTTGTTCATGCTTTATGAGACTTAAGCATTGAGGATAAACAAACAAATTGCTGGATAAGACAATAGCCCCTATCACTGCCCCCATCCCCTTTGTCTCTTAGGTGCCCTGTGGATTTTATTCGGGTAGGAGGGAGAGAGATCCCTATTTGTGAGCTGCCACCTACACAGCTGGGAGAACATGTAAAGAGCACCTTATGTAGCAGTTCTTTTCTGCAAGTTAGCAATTATGGAATTCAGAGATCAAGGAAGTCTGCAGGGATATTGTACAAGACTGGGATCTGTCTAGACACAACAACAAGAAAAGATTAAATATCATAATTCACACTAGTACTTATTATTTTGAGCCTCTTTCCTTAAAGTCCCCAGGTAGCAAAGTGTCATATGTTGTTATATTTTTTTCAACCTTCCTTCAAGGTTAAAAGCAATTTGAAGTTTCTCAGTTACATACAGTGAGTTGAGTACGCCCACCTTAGCTATTGTTCCCTACTAGCATATAATGTTACTGAACATGCACTCATCTCTTAAATATGACAAAATGGGTTTGGACAGTGTATTTCCCCCCCCCCCCGCTTGTCATTTCTAAACACTTATTGAAGACAATATGCAAATCCTTACTATTTTCACAAACACCCCAGGAGGAAAGCACGAGAAATATACACCCCTTTCTCTCTGAATGCTCTAAGTGGTTTCCCAGACAGCTGTCCAGACCAAAAATTCAGAATATAAAAGAGAACCAAAATTCTTATTTTTAATGGTGCACTTATAGCCAAAACAATTGGCCATATTTGGGGTGTTCCCCTTCCACAATTATAATTGTGCAAGGGAGGAAACAACAGGGCCATGCTTCATGGCCTCACCCCTTCCTTAGGGGGTGTTGTCATTGCCCAGACTGTGAATCTCACACATTTGTACAATGTGGCTGCCCACTTGTGGAATGTTCTCCCCGGGAAGTCTCGCCTGGCACCCTCATTACATATCCAACACCACATGGATACCACATGGGATGGGGGAGTTTGTTTGCCCCATGTTGCCGTTGAATCGCAGCCTGGAGAGTGTGTCTGTCTTTGAAGCATGCAAGCTGAAGTCACTTGTGTGGAGATGCATGGGTGTCACTGGAAACAACCATTTTTTTGCAAGCGCTTCGTACAGGCATAATTTACAACCTTTCTTTTGCAGTGCCGAGGCGACGTTACTAAGACTTACACTCTGGAGGCATACGACAACTGGTTTAATTGCCTCAGCATGTTGGTGGCGACGGAGATTTGTAAGGCAAGTACTGACAAGGGAAATGTGCCAGCTACTCTTCCTTCACTCTCGCAGTTTTTGGCCCAACTCATTCCAAACTGCCTTGGCTGAAACTCTGTGTATCTTGGCCACCTCCCACCAAGTAACATCTCCTCTGGCTCAGGATGCATATGAATGCACCCGCCCATGCAAAAATGCAATCCTTTACAGAATATTTGCTGGCACTTGAAGTCAGCTTCCATTTGTATTTTTTGCACCCATTCTCATCCTGTTCTGATTTGACTCACGCTGCGTAGCAAAAGCCCAATTCATACATTCCCCAAGCAGCATTACTGCTGCTTCACCTGGCTCCATCCCATGCGACGCTAATACTGTAGGATGTAGTGATATCCCAGGAGGCTCCTTCATCACTGTACTTCCCCTTGAGTTCTAGCAGATGTGGCACTGCAAAGTCCCCTGTGACTTTCGCCTCCAACACAATTCAGTGTGTCATATATTTCTGGAACTTTATGGGATGGGGGCTGTGGGAAACAGCAACCATGTTGCTCTGGAAATGTATGAACTGAACCACAGCGAGGGAACAGGAATGGGTTTGGTCATATGAATACACATCATGCCTTGTGACGTGGGTGGCACTGTTGTCTAAACCACTGAGCCTCTTGGGCTTGCCCTGCAGAAGGTCGATAGTTCGAATCCCTGCGACAGAGTGAGCTCCCATTGCTCTGTCCCAGCTTCTGCCAACCTAGCAGTTTGAAAGCATGCCAGTGCAAGTAGATAAATAGGTACCGCTGTGGCAGGAAGGTAAACGGTGTTTCTGTGCGCTCTGGCTTCTGTCACAATGTTCCGTTGCACCAGAAGCGGTTTAGTCATGCTGGCCACATGACCCGGAAAGCTGTCTGTGGAAAAACGCTGGCTTCCTCAGCCTGAAAGTGAGATGAGTGCCGCAACCCCATAATCACCTTTGACTGAGCTTAACCGTCCAGGGTCCTTTACCTTTACCTTTTTACCTTTTACATCATGCCTTGTAACAAACAGTACACCTTCGCTTTAGAATGAACAGTGTGTAGGTGTGGAAATGCAATAGTCTTTGTGGCTTCCAAGATGCAAGCTTCGCTTGATCTGCTTACAGTGCCAAACTAAAACATACAGCATGTGCCTCTTTCTCAAACTCCATATAATAAAAAGGAAGGGAGAATTGTGTGCCTGTGACATGAAAGTATCTAGAGGTACTTAGAACAACCATTAGTGACTGAGAGCTGAACCACTTTCTTAGAGTTTGTGAAAACCCAGTATAGAGAATATGTAGGCTTACCTCAACAGAAGTGTCTTCTCTGTATGCAAACAGGTGGACACCAACCGCACATAGGATTCGTAACATGTCAGAGTCTGACCGGAAGATGGAAATGTATCCCAAAACATCATCTTCCAGACGTACGAAATCAGTATGGTAGTGAAAAACTTACAGTGATAAATTTTAGAGTGCATTTTTCCAAAATTCTTAGAGTCATGTGGCAGAATCATGTGGTTGCATCCTTCCTGGATTATATCACTTTAGATTGCAGATAGGCAATGAGATTTTTGGATGCTCCACCATGTCAGTTAATTTTCTGCATGTAAAATCTTGCACGCTGGGAGAAAGGTTCTAGCATAGCCTCTCCCTACATGAGATTCCCTACAAGAAAAACATTTGTTAGCCCTCGGAAACAAAACTTGAAAAAATAATGCACAAAGCGAGCATTGATCCACTATCAACAAGGCTAGTGAACAGTGACTGATAATTGTACCAAACCCATTAATTCTCAGAAGCTAATTACAAACAGCACAGGCAAAAATGCAACTCAGCAACACGTCATGTGGGAAGCAAATGTGTTTTTTAAAAAACATGGGGCAGTCATTTGGACAAAGCTAAGAATTTTAAAACCCTTTGTTTTCAGGGGGAGAGATTTAAGTGCACGCCTAAGTCTCCCACTTTAAATGAAAAATGTAAAGATATTTTTTCCCACTGTGGCAAACTGCAGTGGTGGCACCAGGATTCTCCTGGGAAAATGCTTCACTCGGGGAGGGAGGGGGACACCTTGGACCTTCCTTGCAGTGAAGGAGAAGAAGGTGCATGGGGTGGAAGACATGTTCACTTTGCTAGGTGGTAGCATCAGGACTAGCAGCCAATAATGAGGTGAGCGGGGGTGAGGGGCCAGCAATTTTTCGCTGCCTTGTCTGAGACCATTTTCTTGCTCTGCCTTAATAATTGTGCAAATGCTGTTGATTAGTCTCATTTCCCTGCAGATTTGAAGTGAGCTCAGGATATCTTATCAACAGTAACGTTAAAAAAAGCTGGATTATAAATCCTCAGTGCTATAGTGAAGCAAACCCCCTGCTTCCACCCTACCGAAGCACACCTCCCCTGGATGGAATATTTCCTATTTTCTACATTTGAGGACAGGATGTTTTAAATGTATTTGGTATTCCAGTCACCAAAATCATTCTTTCTTTGCTTGACAAAATTTCCCCAATGCCTAGTTTCTTCCTTACCTAAGGCTACAGGATTCCAGCATCCATGGACATACAAAGTTTTCATGATCTTCCAAAGATAATGGCTCTTTAAACAAAACAGGGATCTTAGATCACTATCACAAAGGCTTACTCTAAAAAAGGGGGGGGAGGTGACTCAAATCAGGATAGAAGCATCAACACCTTTTCCACTGAAATACTCTTCCTCAAAGCCTTTTTTTAAAAAAAAAAATGTTGTTTGCTTGCGGGATTGCCATGCCTCCATTGAGTAAATGCTACCCCACTTCTCCCATTCAAGGTTTGCATTTAAAATTTCAGGTTGTGAAGAAAAAGCAGCGGACAAGAATAGTGGAATTTTTCATTGATGTGGCAAGAGAGTGCTTCAACATTGGAAACTTTAATTCCATGATGGCCATTATCTGTGAGTACTCTTCCGCAAGGCACCTGTGGGCAGTGTGTGTGACAGCGTCAGTAGAATGATGGTGTTTGAGTAGATGCAGCGTCCCGCTGAGAGTGCTGCACTCTGGATGACAAATGGGCATCAAAGATATTACCAAGTGAGTGTCTCCAAATAATTAACTGGTAAGCAGTGGGAGATCAAAAGAAGAGACAGGGGAAAGACAGGTAAAAGTAGTCTGCGCTTGCCAAAGAGATGAGCCACACAAGACGTTTTCATGCGTTGCAGAATGGCAAATCAGAGTTTGATGCTCAAAGCATATTTGACAGAGAGGTACAACCAATCCTGGCTCCCTGGTGCGAGTGAGTCAGTGCATGTTTGCACAAGACAAGTGTGCCTCTTCTTGTCTACGTAATCTAGTGCACACTTAGAATATTTGAGGTGTATGCCTAATGTATAAATTGTCCTGATTACATTAAAGGACACTTGGGGGGGGGGGATAATCAGAGATTATCCAAATCCTGAAAATGCAAACTTCTCCCAGCTTCAAAACTTTGGCACAGATGTAACAAAAGTGACCAAAAGTAGACACAGAATTGTTTTCTCAATAGCAAAATTTCCCTCCATCCTGCGTTAAAACATGCTTAAGGTACGCAACAGCCGTCTTAATTGGGATTAAGCTAAGAAGAATTCCTGTCCTAGACTCAAAACTGGCATTGTCACCTGAAGAGGAAACACACATAGATGAAGGCTGTAGAGACACATTGTCAGCCCCACTGGCAGGTGTCACATGACTGCTCCAGCCCCACCTTGCTTTAAAGTACACTTTTGCAGCCAGCAGCCTTCTGTATTCATGGAGGTTCCCTGTGTGAGTTAGGCTTTTGGAAGATCGGGGTTTCCACCCACTGCAGAAGTACACTTTAAACATGCAAATGGGCTGGCAGCCCCAGTTAAGAGAGCTGCAACCCCAACTTACAGATGTTCCCTCTTCAGGGAAGGGGGCTTAAGAATCCTGGTTAAGTGGGATGCCAGGTCAGTGCTGGTGCCAGTGCAGTGCTTAACCATAGACAGGGTGGCTAAGGAGGGATGCAGTCTGGAGAGGAGAGGAACAAGTGAGAAGGAGCATGTGATCCCATGGCCTGTTTCTGATCTTTGTTACATCTGCACTACACTCCTTTGACACAACTGCCTGCAGAAGTAGTGATTTGCAGTACATAGCACCAACAATGCTGCTGGAAGCATCCTGACAGACATGCAGGGATGTTTTCAATGATTTGCTGAAAATTTTCCATTTGTTTTTTTCTTTCTCTATTTAGCGGGTATGAACTTGAGTCCTGTTGCCCGGCTAAAGAAAACTTGGTCCAAAGTCAAAACAGCCAAATTTGATGTGTTAGAGGTAATTACATCATCATCATTTATACACTGCTTTGTCCCAAGTAGTTCACAACACAACAGCAAAAATCTGCATCATTGCATTATTAGAACAGCCCAGAACAATTGATTTTAAAGCGTGATAGTATTATCAAAATGAATGGTTTGGATTTTCCTAACATTATAGCACCATAAACGGTTCATGCTTTGCCATGTACTGCCAGAAATGTACAGCTACAACATGCCATGTATTTCTTCCTTTTAAAAAAGTATTTAAAACTGTGTTTAGTAATTGTTCTCTGCCCATAGCCAGATAGTATGAATGAAGCTCAAAAGGTACACTATAAGAAGCTGAGTGAGAAACAACAAAGATAGCATGATCTGTCAAAAGCCATTGAATTTCTTCACAAACTTTAATTCAGTTTCAGTAGAAAATAATATTTAAAAGTTCTCCAGTGCTCATCAGACATCTGCAGCTTTGCCCACACTGGGCTGGAACACTGCAGAGAAGGAATACATTGGTTCATCTTACTGAGCAATTGGGCAGAATAGTGCCTGTGCATCTTTAGTCCATAAGTAAAAGATCCTTCTTAAAAACGGGAGCTGAACTTTCAGAGAAAGGACCTGAAATATCCCTAATTGTGGCCGGTGCCCCCTCCTCCACCTCAGTCCCTGTGGTATCAGCCCTGATTAAACCCAAGTGATTCTCCTTTTGCCTTCATGATGTATATTCATCTCCAATTTAAGTCTGCCATCTGGTGGAGAGTGATGATCAATATTTAACCAGAGTAATCCCTGCCACAAACCTCTCGTTATTTTTTAAATCGTTTGAAAACAAGCACAGCTGGGGAAGAGAGAAAGCAAGGAGGGTGAAATGGTTTGGAATATTTGAAAGATATTGTTGGGGGCTTGTCCTGAATCACTGGAAATTTCACTAATATTCTGCCACTCTGGCCCTAAGTAAACCTTTGCAACAAAAACCAGTTGGTGAAAGAAGCAGATCCCACTTTCAAACAATAAAATATCAAAGCGGGAACAAAAATTGAACACGTGATGTTTCTCTCCAAAGGCAATATGTAGTAATGCCTGATGACTTATATGTGTGCACCCAACAAATCATAGGCAGTATCTTTCCCATCACTCCAGCACAAGGCTTTCCAGTGGACAGAGTTCATATGTGCAGCTGTAGGTCTTCAGGTGTCAGGTAATCAAGTGATGTACATGGATGTGTGAACCAACCCTGAAAATCTCTGGATCACAAATCCCGGGTCAAATCCAAACCTGCCCATGCAGCGTATAGGCAAGCACCCATCTCATACAGAACTCTCCATACTCCTTTGGTTCCTCAGAATGCAACCTGTCTAAAGGAATGAAATAGCACTTCCTCCAGTCTCAAGAAGGTTCTGTGGGGAGGATGTTTGTAATTATCAGATGCTGTAAGCAATAGGAATATGTCTAAATCTTTTTTTAAAGTCTTTTATAGGGGGGGAAACCGATCCTGAAGGAGAAGGAACAACTCACCCCCATCCTGATCACTATAAAGCAAATTTTGTAAGCCTTTGTACTCAGAGGAATTCTAACAAATTCTCTTTTTGATCCAAACAGCATCACATGGACCCATCCAGCAACTTTTGCAATTACCGAACAGCCCTTCAAGGAGCAGCACAGAGATCCCAGACAGCACACAGCAGCAGGGAGAAAATAGTCATCCCCGTTTTCAACCTCTTCATTAAAGATATCTACTTTCTGCATAAAATACACACCAACCACTTGCCCAACGGACAGATCAACTTCAAGGTACAGCTTGTTTTGCAGGCAGTGAATGAAGCAGTTGCACAGTGAGTGCTGCAGGCAGACAAAACATCCAAGCAAAAGAACAGAAGGCCATATGTAGTCAGTGAGGCTTGCCACCTGGCCATTTTTATACTGATCTGTTTGCGTTCTCTTCCTTCAGAATAGGTTTGTCACAGCTTGCTCACAGCCTCACGTTCAAGCAAGAGCAATTAACCAATCAGGGGCAGGGTGGGGGGGAATTGCATTTGAAGTGAGTGCATCTCGGCAACGACAAAAATTTGGGTTACTTGCTATCACAACACTGAACACAGAACCTCTGTCTCCTATGTCCCCATCTGTAGAAGATGGAAGTGCTGACTGCATAATGGGCAGGGGATGAAACTATTTTACCTAGTGGTTAGAGTGCCAGAACAGGACCTGGGAGGCTTGGGTTCAAATCCCTGCTTGGCCACAAAGCTGGTGATGCCAGGATTGCACAGAGGGGCTGGTTGCATGATCCGGTGCTTCTACATGGGAGGAGGGAGTGAGGTGGCTGCTCCCATGTGCACGATTGCAGCAGCTCTAAAAAGGCCGATTGCAGCTGTGCCAATGAAGGTGACTGCAAATCCATAGGGATGCATCCAGTTCTGTCCTAGTGCTTGTGCAACCAAACTCCTTGGCTCTTCCTGCACATACCTCAAACCAGCTCTGGAGGGTTTGGAGGACTCTGGAGCACTTTGGGGAAGGAAGGGTGCATGGGCAAGGGAAGAGAAAGTTATGTTTTGCGCAGCACTGGATGCAGCCCATACAGTTGACAAGCCTTTTGATGGCCCTGTTTCCTGGGGGGGGGGGCGGGGGGCTGCACACTGTCATCTCTAACTGTTGAACTACAGGCTTAACCAAAGTTCAGAAGGTGGCATGAAATAAACAATAATGAAATGCTGATTGGAATAATTTTATCTCACACAGAAGTTCTGGGAAGTTTCAAGGCAAATCCATGACTTTATCACATGGAAGCAGGTGGAGTGTCCTTTTGAGAAGGACAAGAAAATCCAGAGCTACCTGCTCACAGCACCTATTTATAGTGAAGAAGGTAAGATTCTTCGGCAGCTCACGCAAAATTTGCTCGTTTCCACAAACAGCATGTGCAAGAGGCTCAACGGTGAAAGTGAAAATGGGCAAATTTGCCAACAGCTGTGGATGTTGTTGGTGCTGAAGAGGAAGAGGAAGAGATATAAACTCTGCAACCGACAAGCATAAACCACATGGCAGTATTCTAAGAATCCATTAGAGGATTCCTTTGGCTGTTAGGGCTCCGTTTGAAAGGATACATACTTGCAAGGCTGCTGACAGTAATGCAACCACAATGTTTTATAGGCTTAGGGTCCAAGGCGGCAGGTGTAGTTATAACTACCCATGCTTTACAGAATACCACGGAGATAAGAGGGGGGAAATGTATTCTATCTTTTATGTCTCCTAAAATGCTATCGTTTGACATCATTATGGCTATAAAAGGAGAAGGGCTGTAGCTCTGCTTGAGTTGCGGAAGGAACAGACAGGGGTGGGAATGTTCCCTGTCCCAAGTTGTGGAAAGACACTGCCAGTCAAAGCAGTACTGAGCTAGGTTGGGCAATGTTCTTACTACATATAAGGCCACTTCCTCTGTTCCTATGTGATTAAAATCCTGTTACATGTTCTGACTGACTTCCCGTCCTTCTCTGCCCCACCTTCCCAACCCTCAGCTTTGTTTATTGCATCATTTGAAAGTGAAGGTCCAGAAAATCATATGGAGAAAGACAGCTGGAAGACACTCAGGTAATGAAACCAGTTCCTTGGTTCTTTCTCATACTGAGAAATGCAACCTACGCTACCAGCCTTTTTGAGCCTTCAGAAATTTGGCATGGGAGCTACACATTAGGTAAAGAAAAGGTGCCGCCAAAGTTTGCCATGCTCATGGACTCCATGGTGCTTGCCTCAATTGAGAGGCGAGAATTAGAAGGCCATTAATTCTTCTCTAGCTCAAATTAAAACCAAAGCCACACAAGACTTCTTGGTCTATTTCTGCTTTGAAGGACTACACTGAAAGCCAAATACCCAGACCACCCAGGGGAACATAACCCCCCATGCAAGACATGATTGTACAGTATGTGAAGGGGGGGATGACATTGTACAATGCTCATCTTTGTTGAAAAATAGAAAGCCAACACAACCAGCAAAGGACTTCTCCCTGGTCTACTAGTTTCCTTTTTGCAGGATGTTTTGTGTGGGTTTTTAATATTTAACTTGGATAGTATTGAGAAGTGATATTTTCCACCTGTTGCCTGAGGCACTACAGCCCATCAACATTCTGCAATCTTATTTTCACTTCATTTTGCTGCAAATTTAAATCCAACACAGTAGAACAGCTGGCCTTCCTGGACAAAGGCTGGATCCAAAATCACTTTTTGGTTGAGAAATACAGTGTAGGTGTAGTAGCTAGTAGTAGTCTAGATTTTTTTAATATAAAAAACAAACAAACCAGGGAACACCAGTTCCAATATCAGGGGCCCGAAACCTGATCTGTAGTCAGTTTTCAATACATGGTTGAGGACTGGCAAGTCATTATCAAATGACTGAGAATACTGGGGTAAACTAAGTACACAGGTAACAGAGAAAACTAGAAACCTAATCATCCAGCTAGGCAGTTGGAGATCTGAAGCCAAGCTTAATGGGGCAGCCAGACACTAATAGCTGGGAACTTATACCAGCCAGTAATCTGAGCTGATCTCAAGTATATTCGCAGTTGCATCTGTTTCGCTTAATGTAACTTAAGGTGATAACATTTAAGACGATTTGCTGACGTTATCTTTTCATTTTTATCTCTTCATTTTTAGGACAACTCTGCTCAACAGAGCCTGAGATTTTGGACTTCTGCTCTGGATTCTAAAGCACACACTAAAAAAAAACATTGTTTTTAAATCCTCGAAGACGTGATTTGAAAAAGGAAGGCCTCACTGGTTGGGGTCTGTTTTGTAGATAAAATGCCTTTTATGAATTACAGAAGGAAAAAATGTGCTAAATATTTCACATCAACCTTAAGGCACTTAAAAAAATGAAGGATTTTGTTTTTTAACTATAAAAAGAAGAAGAAAAATCAAGGGCCGGGCCCTGTTCTCAGAGATGAAATGGATTGTGGGGAGTGGTATCTATGGTGGTGTCTTATTGTGATGACATCCAGATCTTTATTTTCATGTTCGGTTTCTTCCGCCTAACACACGCACAGTTTCAGACGGGCTCAACATTTTGCAGGTTTGGTTTCCGCTATGCCTTGATCCACCCAACGCTTCCTGAAAATAAATGTTGTCATGTGGGGCCGATGCGTTTGAAATCAGCAAGGCTTCCACAGACCTAAAGAGGGACAAGAGCATTTCCCAGAACAGGTGCAGATTGACTAAGGACGGTATAAGCACAGAGCCCTTGGTTGAACTATAACCCTCATTTTGGGCATCTGATATTTTTGAAGAGCTTGCTTCTCCTGCTGCATCACAGAAAACAGAAGGCAAAAAGCAGCTTCCAAGCTACACCTTGTTGCTCCCCCTTTTCCATCTAGTGAAGTAGGCCTTTGCCTATGAAAGCTCACACCGCAACAGATCTATGAGTTTCCAACGTGCCACACGTTTCTTTGTTGCTTCTATTGCAATGGATTCTACACTGCTACACTTCTGGAATTTCTTCTCAATGTTCTGGGTTTCCCCTTTTGTTTTTGTCTTTATGCTGCTTTCCTGGCCTCATTTACTTTGTGGAGCACTAGAAAATTGTGCTCTTGGGCCAATTTATACAGTCAACAGAGTCAAGCAGTAAAGCTTTGCCTGGAGTGTACCGCTATAGACAGAGGGGTGGTGTTGCTTGCATGTGTGAATGTTCAAATAAAAGAAACATACCTTGGAGAAGATTTTTCTACCCAATATGCTCGATTTCTACATACAGTGCCTTGGATCGTAAGATACACTAATGTAAGGGAGTTCATGGAAGTCAAGTGTTCCTTCTCCTCCCCCTGCTTCTTTGAAGGATCAGGGCTCCCTCCTGAACAATGTGGGATGGGCTACTGCAGCCTCCCAAATTGGACTTGGAGTTTACTTAAGTTCATGGAATAAAAATTTCCTGTCTCATCCTCTCCCAACAGCTCCCTGCAACCCATCCCAAATAATTTAGGAAGGCTCCCAATCATCCAGAGAAGTGTCTTTTGTTTTAAGAGGCCAAGATTGCCGCGGGGCAGGGGGAACGGTGGGAAACTTTCTTTCCATGAACTTCCATAAGTAAACCTCTCTTAGGATCCAAGCCAATTCTTTTGTTTTTTCTGGAGAGCACACAAACGCCTATCCACCCCCACCTGTAGCGGTCCAGATCAGGTCCAGCTTCACCATTTAATTCTGCCAGTTTTGTAAAGTTTGGTATGATTGGCAGACAGGCCGGTAGTCCTGCCCACCTGTCAGAGTTGGCCGATGGAGTTGGGGGCAGGGCAGAGAAAGATCTGGCCCACGAGGCCGAAAAGGTTCCCCCCACCCCTGGTGTAAATAGACGGCAAGGAAACAGTGTGGGAGCCTCTGCGGTTCAGCACAAAGACTGTCTCCTTTAGTCTGGCCTTAAAAACCACTGTAGCAGCATGGCTGCTCCCCTCTTACATCAGAGAATAGTGCCTTACAAGGTACTGAAAATGTTTAGCGTACCTTCTTCTGCAACTCGGGTTGGAAGCAAGCAAAATAAAAATATGGATGTCTTTAATAATTAAAAAAAAAACCAGCTACAGCTTTGTAAATAAACTGGAAGATATGGCACATGAACTAGAGTATACCTACAGTAATGGTGCAGCAGAACTTATTTTTGTTACAAGGTTTGACAAGGTAAAATAGGATAATTGCTAGATCCTCCTTCATCTTTCCTCCTCCCCTACCCCTCCTTTACTAGACCCAAGAAGTCTTTAGTTTACATTTGTGTGTTTGTTTATCAGGGATTTTAAGAGAGGGAGAGTACAGTTGTCACAGTCTCAGCAAAAGATTAACTGCCAATGATGTGTTGTCTTTTACAAACTAGCCTCTGACGAACAAATCCTTAAATTAGTTGGAGGAGGTCAACCAGAGTATTGCAACACAAGGTTCAAGGTGGACTTTATAAAAAAGCTTTGCTAAGTTAAGGTGAGCTCAAAGATCAGGTAAAATATTAAAGCCATTGGTAGCCAGTGTGGTGTCCTCTGGAAGTTGATATATTGCACCTCCCAGCAGCCTCAGCTGACAAAGCCAATGATCAGGGATAATGGGAGCAACTTTTAGAGGACCACATTGGTTATTCCTGGGTTAAAACATCCTGCAGTGAATTTGAGAACAGTTTGCTGCTGCCATGCATTGCTCCTATTGGTAGGCCAATTGACTATCGATATTAGCTCATGTCCCCTGACCTTATGATAACATGTAAGAGCAATTTACCCGATTAAGTAACTTTTGTAGTTATAACTGTTTATAATATATACAGTCATGCTCAGAGTAGGCCCACTGAAATCAATGGATATGACTAATTTGGCTCCATCCACTTCAGTGGGTCTACTCAGACTGATACTGGAGACAACCCAATATATGTAACACGAAGTCACCTTTTGATATCTAACTCCTCCTGGGATGATGGAGCTTGTTGTATAATTATTGGTGACAGTGGAACTTGTAAGAGGTTGTCTAGACAATCCACCACATTCTGGTGCAATCACAGCTGTGCAAGGCACAATTTCAAATTTATAAGCATTGCAATGCCTCCCTTCTTAATTTATTATATTGCTTTGAGGAAACGTTTCCTACTCATTATAAATCTCCTATCATGCTATTTTGATATTTTCATTTCTCAGAGCTACACTATTTTCCCTGCTCCTTTGAAAGACTTCAAGCTGTCCTCACACACAAGCCACATCACTTGATTACTCAGGCGGCAGCTGAATGTGTGAATTGACTCCAATAGAAGAGTATTGCATTTGAGGTGCTCACTTACATGCAAAATCATGATTTGATGTTTCACTTTTCAAGTGCCGAACATCCATATGCGAACCAGCCCATAAGAGCAAAACCACCCCATTTGGAACAAATCCCTACAGACCAAGTTTAGGAGCATATTCCAAAACCAATTAAGCTAGTCTAATTTAACTTATTTTTAATTGTTCTTGAGTATGTGGCTAATTCACTGATAAGAATCATTAGGCTTCAGATTTCTCAGTTGCTTAAAAATCTTGTTACTATCCAGCTTTTTCCTAATTAATTTTTCAATTAGACAAAAAATAAACACCAAGCACTGGATTAAAAATACTTGTTTTAATTAAGTGATAATTATATATTATCATGTACCTACTACCTTCTCGAGAACAATTAAACTAAGAACCCATAGTGGGCCAATTAATATACCATATTTGCAACACCTAAAAACATAAATGTGTGAAAAGATCTTACTATTCCACCCTACCCCTGTTTTCAAGTTAATACATGTTTCTCTGGGAAGAAAACTCAGTTTTATTGAAAAAACAAATATGATTTGCCAAAGCATTTCACTGCCACCACAAAAATTGTTCAGCGAATAAGGCAAAACAAATTAGCTAAATAGAAGCTATGGAACATATTTATACACGTCAAAAGAGGAAGCAGAATATTATGTATTAACAGAAAGATGGCCCCACAAAGACAGAAACAGAATTAGTGGCTTTGATTATTTGTGACCTGCTGCTATCCCCCCCACCCCCCAATGCTGAAGTATTGATCTTCAGGCCTAGAGGTAAGAGAATATTTATACTGTATTATTACAGTGGGTTTTTTGCACTTTTGGAGATGTCCTAGCTAGCAACATTGTCAAAAACTATGAAAGGGATTGTATATCAGCTTTGTTAATGTATTTGAAATTTACAAAAGGATGCTTTAAATTTCAGAGATATATATTTGAAATGCAGTTCTGGGACACTTTGTGTATACATATTTAAGAAGACAGAAAAAGCTTTTACATGAATGTGCACTCCAGTGGTCAATTGGTCAATTGGTTCTAGTATATATACTTGAAAAAGTGCCATTTCTATATGGCTTTCTATTATTATTATTATTATTATTATTATTATTATTATTATTATATTCTTTTCCTTTGGTTTGATACATTCCTTCGCCATCCGTGTTTTTGTTATTCTGAGCTGAATTGCTACATATAAAGCTGTACCATAAAGCAGGATATTCTGTGTTTGACTAGATGTGCTTGCATTAATAAAATCAGAATTGCTTCAACCAGGCAGCATGGATCGTTGTCACTTTTTCTGCTCCCAAAAAGTAGGAATTCAGAGGTTCCTAGGCCATTTTTCAATGTGTAAAGCAGCAAACTGGATGAGGCGAATTAAGAGATCCTAGGGGAAACCCACAGGGTTGAACCAAAAGAGGACTGATAGCATCAGAGCATCGTGAACAAGAGTGTTAGCTGAAGTTTCCAGTTCAGACATCAATCTGGGAAAGAGACAAGCCTCTTACCCTCAGCGCACACCCATTCCCAGCCTCTGACAAAGATAATACTGGCCAACATTATAAGATTGTTGTAACGATTACTAACATCCATTCAGCCTTTAAGCACTTAAGTGTCTCCTTTATTTATTATTATTTTTTAAAGCTAGCCTAACGAAACAGTACTCTTAGCCTGCTATGTCAACAAACATCCTAGCTAAGGAGACATTTCAGTTTCTGTCCTGGTGTGATGGGGTCATGATATAATGCTAATGTTTTACCAATAGCCACTTCCATACCCTCCACTGCCCCACATGAAAATCAGGACACAACCTGGATGGGGACCTGTGACCCTCCAGATATTGTTGGACTACAATTCCCATAATTCCTAACTGCTGGCCATCTGATTAGGGCTGGTGGTTATAGTTGTCAGTTCAACAATATCTGGAGTGACACAGGTCCCCCAGCTCTGCCCTACACCATCCAAATCCCCTATATAGTAACTGTACACTAGGTATCAAAAATAGGTCCCAAGAAGCATTAGGAAAGCAAACTTTCCTTCCAACATAGTCAAACAAAGTTGGTTATAACCCAGCATAGAAATCTATGGCTGCAGGCCAACAAAATTAAAGATTTAGAATTACCTTACAAGCTGGGGCCCCTCTATTTATTTATTTAGGCTTATTTCTAAACTGATTATTGTTGAAATAAGCAGGGGATGGTATAAATAGAAAATAGACTCTAAAAATCGTCAGTATAAAGCATACCAAAATAAAAAAAGCACCAGAAGATGGTAATACAAGGCTGCGGAGGCCAGGATTTCTGACAGAGAAGAGCCCAAGTGAAGTGTGAAGGGGCGTTTATAATGGGCCGCAAAATGTCGCTTACACACAAATGGGCAACTCCTGTTGCCCCCAGCAACACAAATTAAAGGCAACAGAGTCCCCAAATGGACATTTTAAAATTTAGGCACCTCATTCACCTTACGATGCAGCTCAACTCAGGAAGACAATCCAACTCAGGAAGACAATCCAACGTGCCCAGGAATGACTGCTGGGCACATTGCAATTTAACAGTCCCTGGGAGTGTCCCCATTGGCTGGTTGGGCCTGCTCCCAGGGGAACACTCAAACAAGGGCTGCTGGCCTTGGCCAATAGCTGTGTGATTTGGTCTGTCATTGGTCAGATCACTTGCACAATTCGGGGCCTGGCCACAGCATCACCCACCCAGGAAGGTGAGCGGACTTACCTAGGCTCTTCACAAGGGAAACCACAAGTATCCCTTTACTTTGTGAGGAGAAGATTGCTGTTGAAAGGCACCTGTCCTCTTGTGTCTTCGGCAGTTGGTTGCCTAGCAACACTGCTTCTATTCAACCCCCCCAGGATTCCACAGTCAAGAGTCATAGAATCATACAGTTGGAAATGACCAGAAGGATCATCTAAGCTAGTCAACCCCCTGCAAGCAGGAGCTAAGAAGCAGGAGGTGACCGAGTGCCAGGTGAGTTCTGCTATAGGACAAGTCGATGACAAGGGAAACCTCTTCCTTACAAGAGGGCGATTAGTTTGTGTATAGCACAAAGGGAAGGGCGTCTTTTATATGCAAGGCAGATTGTGAGGCAATAGGTCAGAGCACATGTGCCAGCCTTCTTTGCCCCCAGAGTGGCTGGGGAAGCCCAGCCAGATGGGTGGGGTATAAATAATAAATTATTATTATTATTATTATTACTACTACTACTAGAATTTTGGGAAGCCAACAGTCACTTGGGAAAGGATCCAGTCATTTCCAGTAAGGAATTGACTGCTTGCCATAGGCTCAGGACACAAAAGTATGCCAGAGACTTTGGCTTAGTCACAGAACCTCTTCATATGGAATGTGTTTAACCTTAGTTGTTGGCTTTTAAGTGTGCAACTAAAATATAGTGCAAATGCAATGAACAGGTATTTGAGAACACCTGTGTCCTACTGGTGTATTCATTCAAGAGTCTGGATTAGATATGAGTGGCTTCCTACTGAGCGTACAATTGGTGACAAATCCAGGTTACATTATGTGTGAAAGAGTTTCTTGTTACATTCATAAAATGGTACTCAAAAACTCCCATCATTGATTGTAGCGGGAACAAACTGGACTGAATCTACATCTCCAGAAAATGGATTTTAATTTCACAAGACAAGTTTTAAGCATCCAGTAGAACAAAATCCTACATAAAAAGCTGAAGATCTCACATGCCACCAGGTGGACACAAAAAGTAAACTGATAAAGGTATATAGAAGTTGTATGTCAATGAGTCTTAATATTTTAAGCTACGCCTATCACAGGAGGAAAATAAAACCTGAGCCATAGACATATAGAATTCAGGAGCTAGAAGGCACCTTGCAATTAGTCTAGTCTATCATGCTGCACTGCTTCAGGACCCAGCAATACTTGGTTATATTATTTAGCTATTATTTGTATTGCCTAGGGGTGAGTCACCATGCACAGTACATGTGAGACAGATGTAATTTATCTGTAAAACTTTAACATATTATTATTATACACTGAGGCATTCAGCTAGAGGCAGTTTAGCACCTGAGCAAAACTGACAGAGCAATGATCTACCACATAGCAAGCTAAGAAAACTAGCCACAAACCTTGCAGGTGACTCCATCAAACGCAGAATCAGAGTTCTTCAGTGAACACACCTGCAGGGCAGAAATGCAGTATGCCAATAAATCACTAATTAGTTAATCTACAAAAGAGACTAGCCCACAAAAAAGTAGTAGCTCGCCTGCCTACATATGCAATAATATGAACACTTAAAGTAACTTTTGCAAAAGCATTTCTGCTTAGTCCCATGGAGCATAAACTGAGCTGTATCTACTCAGAAGTCAGTCCTATTGAATTCAGTTGGGCTTACTCTCAGGTAAGTGGTCCCAGGACTGCAGCCTTATTCACCCATTAATTTTTCAAGTGTTCATTCTGGGGAATGGCCATGCAAACAGGACCTTGGTCTGGTCAGCTCCTGTGATGGTACTTGTCTTATACCTCTGAATCCCTGAACTTTTAGGTCAGGATAGGTAGCCTGTGACCCATGGCCTAATTCTGTGGGTGGCAAAGAGGGCAAAAGGCAGGGAGAAGGGGTGTTCCCCCACCAGATTACCCTCAAAGGATGCAGCTCTCATCAGAGAAAAAGTTGCCTACCTGTTTCAGGCAATGGTGATTCAAGAGGCAGCATTTCTGGGATAAGCGTAGTCTGATTGACTCTGGAAACCTGGCTTTGAGTGCTCTTTTTCTGTACTTCCACATCTAGTGGTCTCTGCTGTCAAGAAAAGCCTTTCTTCTGCTTAGGCCTTCACCAAACTTTTGTTTCTATAGGCTTCTGAGTAACCAGATAATTGAGTTCTGGTGAGAAAGGAAGCTCTTACTAATAAGGATGAGATCGTGGATTGAGTGCACCTGTGTTCTTTAGTGATGGCTGTGAGTTCAAGGTCAATTTGGCTGCCTGCTTGATTAACAGCAACTGTGGATCTGTGAGAATGCACTTACTGAAATCCTGGAAAGTTAGTGTCAGCTGAGCTTCTAGTTGGTTGGGAAATTCTGATGCAATTCTTAGGTCATTCTCTAGAACAGGGTTTCCCAAACTTGGGACTCCAGGTGTTTTGGGATAACAATTCCCATCATCCCTGAGCACTGGGTCCTGCTAGCTAGGGATGATGGGAGTTGTAGTCTAGCAACAGCTGAAAACTCATACTTCTAGAGCAGGGATTCCCAAATTTGGGTTATCTGCAGGGGCATCCAGTAAGGTCTGGGGGAACTCCTAACCCAGGCTAGGGGACAACAGGGAGTAGCAGCAGCTTATTATTTTTGCAAGGTCTGGTTGGTGGTGGACTCAGGTTGGATTTTTGTTGCCGCTTAGTCCAAACAAGATTCCTTACTTCCTGGGTTTGGGAAACCTTGGCATCGACCTCATAAAGTCTTTCCAAGGCTACAGAAAGTGTCCTGCTCTTTCGATTTAACCTGATGGTAAGCAGCTTTGCTGCCCCTCCCTGTGTTTCAGACAAAACTTAAGAAAGGAATGGTACAACTGTATCTCCTGCCAGCTTCCACGGCTGCAACCCCCACCCTTCCCCCCTGCCAACATGTAGCCTCTTTCTGACTTGTCATAATATCACCTCTCACTTCCCTCTACAGCTCTCTTCTTTGGGACAGACTACAGTAACCTAATCAAATTGCTACTTTCATTTTCTTTTAAATGTTTCTTCCCTGGGAAAAAGAAAGCAACTCTGTTGGTTCCTTCCTTATGAGAGCACTCTGATAACTAGACCATGACTGCAAGTTGCGCTCTTGTGTATTTCAGTAAATTTGCTAGTTTCTAGACAGCTCCGCTGAACAGCTGCTTTTTTGTCTAGGAGTCAGAATAGGAATCTAGTTCACTTCAGGAAAATCACCCTCAGTTATTCATGGTCCGGGAGTACTTATTCACAGAACAGTTTGACCTAAGAAGTGGAGTGAAAATAAAAGGAGCAGATTCAATCTTGGTAACTAAATCTGTAGAATGACCTCATTTAGGATCCTACAGCTTTGACCAACTCCTCTATACTGTCTTCTCTGGGAAGTCATTGTTTCCCACTTATAGAAAGATGTGAATATATGCTTTCAATTGTCTTACTAGGTAACGTCAGAACAAACCAGACAGGCTGTGTTGATGCTTCACAATTTGACAAAAAGAAAGGGGAATTTAAACATTGGGCATTTATTTGCTGATGAACAGTGACAGAAATAAGACAGTTTGATCCTTGCATACCATGCAATTTACTTTTGATTAACACTGAACAAACAGGGTCTTGTTCTATTTCTCAGTGAGTAGAGACAGGTCAAGACGCCTTCTCATAAAAGCCGTAATTAATCCCACAATAAAACACAGCCTGGGTGATAAGAGTTCTTTCCTAGGAAAAGCTTTTTTTAAAGAGTGTTTGCTTGGAGTTGCATTTGTTAAAGGAAACTGAATTCACTTAGGAATCCTAATCTCTCTCATAGGAGATTAACAATTCACAACATGTCCAGCGTGAAACCAAAAGGACAGGTATGAGCAACACACAAAAAAACGCACAGCAAATACAAGGCCAAGCATTACAATTTTACTTCCATGGAAGCCTTTGGTAGCTGACACAAAAAGCTCCCCAAGATAATCAGGTTTGCTCCACACATTCAGTGCTGGACTCTGAGAACTGCTGAACAGTCAAGATCAAACTGATGTATTATGTAGGCTGCTATGTCCTCAACCCTATAATGAGATTTGTGAAGTTATTACTTAGACACCCTTCATTAAAACTATTCTGGGTGGTGTACAAATGTGTAAATAAAATTCACTCTGCCACAGAAATAATAGTTTTAAAACAGATAACAGAAGGAAATCCCAAAAAAAACCTAAGCGGGATAAAATATTATTCAAAAAATTACAATATATTATTTAAATTTCCCTTACTTTGGTATAGTGAAGGGAACACCCGGTACCCCACAAGCAGAATAATAAGCTTGTGAATATGGCCAACTTCACAGGACCTACAAAGTGGCCTGGGACAGATATTCTGACTGTAGACAACTGGTTAAATCCAGATTAACTGTGGAATCAGTTTGGGTGCCCTGGGATATTTTACACTTGTTATTCTCTTATTCTTGCTAAATGCTGCACAGCAAAGGAAGGGAAGTTTCAAAAGCAGTTTATGACACAGCATGAGGGTGGGGGGTCAGCCAAGCAAAAGTCAAATCCCACCAGGCTATCGCAAATCCCATACATGAGCCTAAATATGGATCCTTGTCAAAGGGATCAAACAGCAAGTTATGTGGGAGTTCTGCAGTTGGCTCTCCCAATGTTTTTCTTTTTTCCTTAAATAAAAAGTTAGGTGCATACATTAGCCCCACATCAATTCATCAGTGCAAGAGCCCTCTCCCCCATGGCTCCCAAACTATTAGCTGCAAGGGAGACATACAGAGACAATAACAGGGCCTGGATGCTTTCTGCTACAGGGACCCCTGCCCCTATTGTAGATTTTTCAATTTGGGCTTACTGCCCAAGATTCTCAGTGCAGTTCCTATGCTGAAAAGCCACCTCCTCCATTATTTTACTAACGTCATTTGTTCTGGAGCAAACATGTTATTGGTCTGATCCAGCTGGTCTCTTATGTCCTTAAAGCAGTTCATCTTCCATCTTCTGTCTTGCTGGCAATTTTCCCAGATACTGAATCACAAGGCAGTTCTCTAACCGATTAAAGAATCTGGTGTTGAGAAAATTCTTCTACGGATTGGCACTTGTGTGACTGAAAGTTCATTTGGTTGAGCATTTCTTATTCCACTACCAGAATGACACACTGAACATTACAAAATGTGAAATTAAAAGCAAAGAAAGAGTATTGCTATTACGCTGATGAAATGTTGTTGGAATGTGGGGACATTCCTGGAAAACAAAACCAGGAACTCATAGCATTGATATAGCTCTTTACCTTTGTCCGTAAAGACAGATATGGTATCAGCCTGTGAAGGTACAGAAGAATGAAATCAGTTCAGCTATAGCAGGAGCAAGGCGTAGATAGTTAACCAAGAAGGGTGGCTTCCCAACTCCATCTTCAATCCATTATTTTTCTTTATTTGAAATGGGCAGGAAAAACAGCACCTATATCAGATGCCACTTTGGTTTTTAAAAACAAACAAACCCTGTTGTGGCTGTTCTTTGCAGCTTCCCTGATTTCTCATGCAGTTGGATTTCTATGCATCCGATTCCTCACAGAAAATATGCCATCATCCTCAATCTACAGTCATAACTTGTAACTTTGGAAGTACACAACATTTGCTTTCTTTTTTGCTGGCCACACTACACTATATGCATTCACAACACACTTTACGGCTGTACCACATTTCTTCATGACCTCAAAACAAGAAACCAGTCCTATATTAAAACACAGTAGTATTCAATTTAATTATAAAGAGAAGACAACAGCAAGCCAACTTGCATTACATTCTCTCCACTTCAGACAAGTTACATTGTTCTTCACAATGTTATAAAGGCAAATTACATGTTTTTAAAAAAGATCAGTGTCCAGAACTATTTTCAAACAGTACATAGTCTTTCAGAGTTAAAAGCCGTATTATTTTCATTGCCCACAAATTCAATTGGCACAATGCTCCCAGTGTTCCTGTCGCAGACCCCATTCGAAACGGATAAGAGACTGCACAAAAGCACAGCTCTGCTTTTCTGCAACTCTTGTTCGTTTCAATGGGGCCTAAGCAGGAGACATTATTGTGCCCAGTGCCAAAAGTAAAATAAAACAGCCCCAAGTTAGCAAGCGATTGCCGTCTTTTCTCCTATCCCCTCTCCCAAGTGACAGAGACTTCAATACTCACCTGAAGAACAAAGGATATCAGAAGTGTAATAATGAGGCAGTGAAATGAACTGCTTATGTTCAAGACAGCATTTCTTTCTACATCCCAAAACATGCAAAAAAAAAATTATTTGGCCAGTAGCTAGGATAAGCAGACAGCATACAAGCTCAATTCATTTACAATCCAATAAAGAACAGCAATGCAATATTATTGTAAACTGTTCAACATCCTTTCTTTTAAATACCTTAAATACATATTTTTGCAAGTTGATTTATGTACCTGATGGTTAATAAGGCGAATTCAGTGATTCTGGCTGCACAACATACCATGGTGGGTTTTTTTGCATATAATTCTCCACGGGCTCTTGCCTCAGGGCTTTATTCTTCCCACGGAATGCGTACGTACTTACAGTGTCCCTTTCTAAAAAAACTACAGTGAAGCAAGCAGCACAGAATAATGATAGGCAGTGGAGAAGGCAGTTTTTCATTCAGTTGTGACTCTTATTCCCACATAATGCAAATCTGAAAAATGAGAATGTTAAAAGAAAAATCTAGATGCAGAAAAGTTAATATACTCTGTTCTTGTTCCCTTGCCTACAACCCCCCATGCAGTTAGACATGTTAAAAACAAACTGAAATGCTTCCTTTCGCTCAAGTGCCTGATCTGGTGCAATGTGTAGGTAACAGCTGGCCAGAGAAAGATCTTTGAAATCATCTTCAGCAAGAGAGAGGCACTGCGTTGTTTTTTTTAGCTGAGTTATAATTAAGGCTTCAGAACGATGCTGGTTCATAGCAGCTCGAGAGTCTTAGGATTGCACTGAGGATCATTTTAACCTATTGCTTCACTGTTAGTCCTGTACGCCTGCTTACGCAGGTGGGTCTCAATCTCCTCTCTGAACACCAGCATCCCAAGGTGAGAGTGAGAGGCCTCATTCATGGCTTTAGACTGGATGCACATGCGATATTGCTCCGGAGTCAGTTCATCGGCACAATGCTTCTCATGCCAGAGATGAAAGAGGCCAGGGACTGGGGTCCTGGCCACAATGAGATCGCCATGCAAGTACTTTCGATAAAGGTGGACATCTTCTCCACCCCAGCCTTTGACTTCCAAGTCAAAGCCCCCTGCAATAAATCAAAGACAGAAATCAGAAATGCTGTAATCAAATAACTTCACAAGCAGAGGTGTAGAGAAGATACATTCCTTTTCAAGATCCTATATCGCCAAGCAAGATAAACCAACAGGACTCACAAGGTTAAAAGATAATTGAAAGTAGAGATCTCAAGTTGCTAGTTAGGTAATAAAGGGCAAGTCCTTGTCAGAAGAGCTTCAGATTCTAATCACCAAGGAGTCAACAAAATTTTATGTATGTAATCACTAACAGAGAAGGGGAACCTGTTTTACAAAGATGATCACATCTTATATTTTAGTTGGAATTATTTAACTGTTGTCCTCAGTTGTGAACAGCTTCCAAAACCTAGAGCCATCAGAAATCATGAAAAATCTGCACAATGAGTGCAGCCATCTTGCTGCTAATTCTTTAGCAGTTAATCGCCATTTTTAAAACATGAAGATGGCAAAAAATGAAGTCCGAGAACTCTTGTAACTGAAAGATAGGTGAAAGCCAAAAATGGAGAACCCATAACCCTCCAAAGTTTGTTCAACTCCAGTTCCCACCAACCTCAGCCAATGGTAAGGGATTAAAGGAATGGAGTCCAACAATCTCTTGAGGTCCACATATTCCCCATCCCTGATATAAGCTAACAATTGCCTATAAGCTCTGCAAAAAAGCTGTAGCTACACACATGCTAGGTCCTGATGTCATATAAAATCTTATTCCTGAAAGGGAGGAATTAGTTTCCAGATTCATTAAGGGACTCCTTGGCAGGTTTTGAATAAATATTCACAAACTTTTTATTGATAATAATCAGCTAAACAGTTTGAGGATCTATACAACTTTGTAACATGCAGAAAACAGAAGTCTCAGAGGAACCAAAGACTGGAACTGAGGGAAGTCGGGGGGTGGGGACAGGTGGGTTTTGTGTGGGGCGGTGGGGGGAGGGAGGAAAAATGGGGGGGAAACAAGGATGATATATTTTTGGATAATATGTCTTGTTTTAATTTTGAATAAAAAAACTTTTTTTTAAAAAACCAGATTCATTAAGGGAAGCTATGAACACATTTGTGCATTTTTTACAAGAAAGCACTGCCATTCATACATACACTTTCCCATTCAACAATCTCCTCTACTCTCAACTGCAGTTAAAGCAAGCAATAAAGCAAAGAAATATTAGTCATTGCAATTTATCATTTATTTTATTTATTAAAAGCATTAAAAGAATAAAATTCAGTATTAAACACAATACTTCACAAAGAACAGAAGCAGCATAAAATGCACCCTTTCTGGCAGAAAAAAATACTAAAATAATTAGCACAGGTGTACAACAAAATACAAGTAATAAACTGAGAAGTCCAGATTATAGAAAAACACGAGCTGTTTAAAAGCAAAAAAAATGTGTAATATGGACACGGCAAAAGAGCAATTCCTTGTCAGCAATAGTCAAATTTTGTAATAAAAGGTTTCCTTTAAAAATAAGCAAGAGTTAGTTAAGGTCCCAAAGCCAAACAACGATCAGTGGGAACACACAAAATTACCAAGACTGATGAATTCTATAGCAAAAGTGGTTATTCCTTTCTCTTTTTCTTTGGAATTGTTTCTGATCTGCCTACCAAAACTCTTGTTCCACTGAATTGGCTTTATTTGTCTCCTCCAGTTATCCCTTCCCTAGGAATTGTTCCTCTTCTTTAGATAACCTAATCCTATGGCACTATGGACATACTCATCTTTCATGGACAAGGAACAAAAAAAATCTAGAGTCACACATACTTAGGCTTGGGCTGCCCACAGACAAACAGGAAGTAAATAGTAATTTGCCTTAATTAAAAATATGAAGAGAGACAAGACCAAAAAAAAATTGGTGCAGTGCTACTGCATTTTTTAAAAGCAGCATTAATATTGTACAGTAACTAAAATAAGACATAAAGCTATTACACAATATCAAAACTCAGTTAAACCACAAGGTGGTGCCAACATATATAGACAAAACTAAGCTGTGAGGCTTGTGCTAGCTTTTTAAATGGTCAAGTAAGAAACCGCATGGGTGAATAACTCACACAATTTTTTTCTACAAAGTTCAAGAACCATGATTTAATTAAGTATGCCCTGGGTGTCTTTAGACTGAAAGGCCGGACAGAAATAATGTAAAGTAATAGTTTCCTGGAATAAATCATTTCTCTTCCTTAGTGAGAGCAAGAGTCACTTGAGCTGGGTATTTGTGCAGAATATCCAGCAAGAAGCAACATTCCCATGTCAATCAGTAAACAGAGGATATCTGACAAAATCCAAGACAAAAATCATAAAGCAAAGCATCTTACCGACAGCCAAGAAATCTGTTCGATACTGACAAGTCATCCCAAAACCAAAATCCCTCCAAAAACCAGAATCCTTTTTGTGCACCTACAATTATAAAAGTATGCATATTTAGGCATTTCAAGAAGAAACAGGATCTGAAATTAATTATCCCAGTAAACAATTCACTCACCACCCACTAGGGATGGGGGAGAATTTCAATTCGATTTGCATTTAAAGGTACATAATTGGCAGTTTCCAAAACAATCTGAGAACCAAAACACAGCTGTCCTTCAAATTTTGCAGTTGTCTAGCCAAGTAGCATGTACAAAAATGCATACGCCGGGGTAAAGTGTCCATAAAATGCATGTGTTAGTGAAATCATACAAAAATTTGCAGTGCCAAAAGGAAACAACGGCATCAAGGCAAAACTAGGCATAACAGGCAACACAAGTTTATTTCAAAAAATGGCATGTAGACTACCCGCTTCTCTATACGAACATACGGTCGTAATGTGCCCTGAATGTGTTTTTGCTGGGACTTCCATGTTTGTTGTCCCATCAAGTTCAAGTTGAAGTGAGACTAAGGAAGCAATCCTAACTCACCCCACCCACAGCCTGACTTCATAAAGCAGCAGTGACAGAACGACTGCAACGCCAGCCTGGGGCTGCTGCACTGGCTGGGCCCAGGTCACACCTGATGCAGCAGCAGAAATAACACAGGATTGAATGGATCCTGGGTTGGCTCAGCCCCACAAGCTCAGTTTGAAGGCTTTATGCTTCTGGGATGCTGCTGGCAACACTTCCATAGGCACATTTGGCAGGCAGAAGTAGGTGCAAAGTAATCAAATCACCCTGTGTAAAGAAACACACACCATAATTCCTCTTCTTCTATCTCCCTGGCCTTCTATGAACTTCCTGTGTGATCCCCAGCTTTAGCAGGCTTCCTTGACCACATTGGCCTTCTGCTGTGGAGGCTCCCTACTTTACAGCTTTACACGCAGCATGAAGAGGACCTTAGCCTACCTCGTACTCCAGCCAGTGTGCTACACATTACACAGTAACAGATTTCCAGTTTTGCCCTCATCTAATGTTTCTCAGTTTTCTTGTTTAATGAAGCAAACACCATGTATCGTTAGGAACATGCCATTTTATTTTTCCGCAAATGGTGTGGTAGAATCCTTCACCTTTGACGACAGACTCTCTGATACTTTTTTTAAAAAAACTGAACACAAAACTCTGCAAGCTTTGCAAGATGTTTGTATGCATCATTCGTAGATGCTGCTGAATTATTGCCATTTTTACAGAAGAGTATGGGGTAAATTCTGGAGTACAGGATCAGGTTTAAGGTGCTGGTTTTAACCTTTAAAGTGCTATACGGCCTAGGACCCTTGTACCTACGGGACCACCTCTCCTGGTATGTCCCACGGAGGACCTTACAGTCTTCAAATAAAAACATCTTGGAGATCCCGGGCCACAGGGAGGTTAGGTTGGCCTCGACCAGAGCCAGGGCTTTTTTGGCCGTGGCCCCAATCTGGTAGAACACTCTGCCACAAGAGACTAGGGCCCTGTGGGACTTGACATCTTTCCGCAAGGCCTGAAAGACAGAGCGGTTCCACCAGGCCTTTGGCCAAGGCACAGTCTGACCCCCTCTCTCTTTCTGTAATCCCCATAGAACTCTAGCCCAATGGTTGCCATTAATTTGATTCTGAATTGATTTTAGAATGTATTTTAATTAATTGACTGTGTGATTTTTTGTACACTGTGCTATTTTTACTTGTTAGCCACTATGAGCTCGGCTTTGGCCAGGGAGGGTGGGATACAAATAAAATTTTATGATGAAGATGATGGTGATGATGAAGAGGATAACTGGCATTAGCACCAGTCTATATGTGGATAAAGCTATAATCTTCCTTCTCCATTTTTTATCTTTAGGTTAACTGGATGAATAGTTGGGAATTTAGGAAGCTTTTTGGACTATGGAACATTTAAGGAGTATGCAATTTAAGGCTTACTAGTATCTGTTTGGTTAATTATTTTTATTTCCAAATTCTTCTAAGTTGATTGTTCTTGAGTAAATTTCTGAAATCTTTATTCGCTCTATTTATTTCACATTTGAATTTCCCCTACCTAGCATTTAATGATTTACATGCTCCTTGGCATGTAAATGAATGTGCTCATTTACACATTTGTTTTATGTTTCAGTGAGTGTTGAATTTATAAGTTTCCATCATCCCATGCAGTGTTTTAAATATTTCAAATTTCTTTTCCTTTTGATCTGACTCTTGTCCTCTCTGCTTAATGGAGAAGGCTCAACAGAGCTAAACTTAAAGGACCTACTTTCCACATAAACAGTTCTTCCATCAAACACTGCATTGAAGCTGCTACTGGTTAATATGGAGAACAAGGTTTTTAAGCTTCTTTAAACTCCAGTCACTTACCAACTGCTGCTCCACAGGGGGTGGCACATCTTGATTAGCATAGACAATGGCAGGATTATAAAGGCTGAATACCACAGGATAGAAAACTTTCTTCCCTACAGAGACAGGAGAGATTTGTTACTCCTTATGGGACATCTTTGGGCAGAAAAAAGAAGCTGCACGTTTCCTCTATTTTTTTATTAAACAGTAATCCATCTAACAAGCAAAAGAAAAGAAAAAGGTCTGCCTCTTAAGACTTTTGCTCAAAAAACCCATGTTATGCTTCAATCACAGCACAAAGGGGGAATGGAACCAAGCATGCAAAGCCAAATATTATATTTGGGTCTGGAACGAGAGCATCAAATAACCTGAGGAGTTAAAAGCAACAGTGTTCAAAACTATTCCTGACTGGAAGAGATCGTTCTGATGAAGGTAACTATAAATAAAACTTTCGAAAAGGGTCAAGCACCAGTATGTGAAAGACACATGACTCCTAACCTCAACATCCCTCTAAAATAAAAGGTATAGTATTTGCCATTGCTGTAAATTTTGGCCCAATTCCAGATGTGGCTCTTGCCAAGGGTGTTGGAAGGTGATTAGAGTGTCACATCTTGGGGAGACAAAGATTTAATTGTTTTATTATGTAGGATCTAATGAAGAGGTACCTGTGCCAGTTTAAAAATGTACAGTGGGGTTGTCCCCTGCCTGTGGGGGTGCTGGGCAAGAGAAGATAGGTGACAGGAACATAGAAAACTGCTTAATCCAAGTGAGAACATTGGTCCATCTAGCTCATAACTGTTTATGTGAGTGGCAGCAGCTTTCTGGTTTCGGACAGGAGACATTCCAGTGCTAATGAAAGATGCTGTGAGTTGACTTTGGGGGTCTTCTGCATGCAGCGCTGAATGCTCTACCAGGTGGCCTATGCCACTCCACTGTTTGAAGCTCAGTTCCCATCTTTGTTTTATACTCAAGTTTCCAGTCCCTAACAAATTATCTGCCCACACCTATCCCAGTGTTATGCTTTTCATGGTGGCCAGTGGGAACTATGCATGTGATGCATAGAGACAATATTCCTATTTGTTCCCAGGATCTGGTATGTGGAGGAATCCTGCCTCTGAGGCATTTCATTCCATTTAACTATCATGGATGATAGCAAAGACTTCTATGGGAAGAGCACTGAGAAGCAGTATTGAGTAGAGCTGGTGGGACTTGCAACCCTCCCACTTTCCAGAAGCCTTGGCTGCCTCTGCTGACTTTAGGAACCTAGTGTGAACATACCTGGCTCAGCATTCAAGCGGCAGCTATTTAAGAACTCGGCTGTGAAATAAATATCAACATCGCAGAAGAACATCAAGACCTCGCCTTTTTCCCAGGCTCTGGCACCCACATCTAGTCCCCGACCACGATTGAATTCCTCATTCAAAGAAACCAGGGTGTAATTATGAAAGTTAGCCTCCCTAAGAAAAAAAAAGAGGGGTGGGGACATAGGAAAAGAGTGATGTTAAAATGTTTAGTTCATGACACGTCAGCTTCAGCTTGGCAAACTGTGTTTCATATACAGCCTGGGCTCAATCTCTTTATGGAACAGGTTTTGCACTTATGGATGATGCCAATTGTGATATGTTTCTGTTGGATTCTGTCAGAAGCAAGGGCAACTAGGTGACAAATTAGAGTGTTATCTGTAGTGACACTTGAACTCTAGAACTCTTGATGCCTTCTTTGCAAGTCAATACATTTTTGTCTTTAGTTTCTATATTCTGCTCCAGGTAAAAAGAGTTTCTCCCAGATATGAAACAGAAATATATAGGATCAAGATGGTAGCAAGATTTCACTTCTACCACTAAATTAAATAGTTTCAAGAAAAACTTGAAACACCTTGCCTGCACTAAGTTTGCTGTAAATTACTGCTCCCTAACCAAAAAAAAAAAAAAAAACCAACAGTTTACCAATGTAGATGTATTTTGAACACAGAACCATAATCACATATGGAAGTCTCTGAGTGCTTATCAGCATCCTCTATTTTGTCATTTAAAATCTCCTACTGGCATAGGATATTTTTATGCTTTAGAAAAAATTGCCACATCAGCAAATCTTAGAGCTACCACAGATTTTTGTTCAAAAAAGCTATCTAATAGTTACATGAATTCAGCGAATATAGAGAACAAAGATGTCCCCAATACAGTCATTATGAACTGTTTCCCCCAGAAATGCCAACCTGGCCTCAACACTACCAGCAGTGACATCTTTTTAGAAACTGCTTAGAGACTGCTCTGGTATTAAGGAGCATACAGCTATATGAAATAAAGAAACAGCTGTTTTGGGAAGCTTTTGGTAATGGCCGATTTTATTATTTCTGCTGCTGCTGAGTTTGGGGTCTTTTTCCCCTCTTCTTGTTGCTTTTTTAAACAAAGGCTGTTTATTCTTATGTGAGGTTTTTGCATTGATTTGTGTTTGTTGTGGTTTGTTGCAATGTGTTTTCTTATAAAGGAACAGTAGAATATTGATTTTGCTAAAAAATAAATTCAGAGAAATTAAAACTTTGCTACTCACTCACTAAAATGCAAAGTGATAACATTGCATGGGCTTCTCTGAAGGTTTTCTACTCACCCCAGCCAGTCATCAAAACCCTGTGCCTTATCTGGGGGAAGCATTATACCAGCACCTCATTAAGACAAATTTAAACAGCTAATTGCTGCTTTGTTTTTTACCTAATCAAAAGTTTGAACTTTTTCAACTCACCTAGCAACTGATTCTAAGATGCTCTTGACGTCAGAAAGCCCCTCATGTCCAAAATATACAACTGTGAGGTGAATCCGCTTGTCCTGGTTAATGCACACTTCCCTGGAGAAGCAAAACAAGTATTTGGTATTGCAATAGCTTAACAAGGGGTTTTGTAATTTAAAATAGCAAATATCGCATACTGGATTTGTTCTATTTACAAATACATTTGCCTATTGCATCCTAGAAACCAATCTGACCAAATTAATCACTAAGTAATCACTAATCACATTCAGAAGACATCTTAAGGCAGCCCTGTTCAGGGAAGTTTTTAATCTGTGATATTTTAGTGTATTTTTGGTTTCTATGGAAGCCGCCCAGAGTGGCTGGGGAAACCCAGCCAGATGGGCGGGGTACAAATAATAAATTTATTATTATTATTATTATTATTATTAGTCACTGCACTGTCGGGAATACCAGGCTTATAGGTGTGATGTCCATTATAAATGAATGACAAACGGGTGCAGTTCATTCATCCTTTGTGCCTTCTTCCCATTAGTGCTTCTTGAGATGTGCCTAGTGTTTAATCCATAGCACATCAGGTACCAAATGCTCCAGCAATCTATGGTCACATTTTGCACACTAGCCTATATTTCAGAGGCAAAAAAGCATCTCGGATTTTAAACTGAGAAGATGCTTCTCCAAATTGGAACTACCAGTGTTGTACAATACCACTAAGCGTTATAGCTGATTGGAAGATTCACTGTATTTGCCTTCTACTGTAGAAAATGACTACATAGGATTGGTATAGGGCCTAGTTTCTGAAGCACTTACCTGAAGTTTTGCATGAACTGTGCAAAAACCTCCGTCCTTCCAGCAAGGGGAACAATAATGTTTATTATTGACCTGGAGATGTCAACAGTTTCACTCTTCACTTTCATAAGGGGCCCAAATGGACGAAACAGTGTGACATGCCTGTACTCCATATCATCTGCCTTCTTGTAGAACAGTTCATATTGTGTCCCTTTGTCTCTCTCAGTACGGTAATAACCTTAGGAACAATTTACAGGAGGAACTGATTCAGTCACAGACTTTAAACTCGGTGACAAATTCCACTGCTTCAGGAATTACTATACATTGTGAGGAGAGTGTCAATATTCAGGATGGTGCTCAGCCAGGTACATTATTATGTAGAAAAACAAACTCAGCTGTCAAGATTGAAAATGTGAAAGGAACTCCAGAGCACAATCTTCTCATATATAAAACCCAGATTCAACCCCTATTAATTCCACTTAAACTATTTCAAGTACCAAGATGAGGAAAAGACCTTAGCCAAATGCTAGACAAGCTGCTGCGAGTCACAGCAGATGGAACAATGATCTGATTTTACAATGCAGTTCCTTAACCATTTCTGCAACAAAAGCACCAACCCAAGTGTGTCTCCTATTCTCAAAATGCTAGCCAAGTTGTAAATTGCACTCTTGCAGGGAGAGGGGGCAGAGAGAGAGAGAGACTGCAGTAACCAATATTCAAAATGAAAATCAGACTCCTGCCTTCATTATCTATTGTAGAATTTTATTGACAGATTAAGATGCTTAGTAGGTCAAGTCCTACACTAAGCAGCAGATGACTTGGCTTGACAGTGTTAAGCTGCGACTGATCCTTCTTCAAGAAGATCAATACTTTAAAATCAGCTGGCTGACTTTCATAGAACAAATTTGTACTCATTTAAGTCTAACCTGCTTCTTGGCAACATCAGGCTCTCAAGAAAGCTTTCATTATAATTACTACCAAATACAGTTTTTATAAAAGTATCCATTGGTAATCTTTGATTTAGCAATTGAAACGACCATTCCCAATTTCTCTTTGAAAAAGAAAAAAGATGCTACTTCTTTAGGCTTATCAAAGGCTAAGTGTACATAATTCAACCAGGGTTTTTGGGGGAGAGGGAGAAGCAGAAGGTGCAAAGGAACAAGTACTAGAAAGCATTATCATTTTTTTCCTCGAAATAGTTCCCGTATCCTTAATGTAATCTGCGAGCATTTAGAAGTCCTGCACTAAAGGATGACAAATTTGGCAAACACTGACAATAAACTTGTATTGTCTCCAAAGAGCAAATATGCATTACAGAAACCAAATAGTAGCAAACTATTTCCATAGCTGGACTCAAAAAATGCCCATTGCAGGAGGTAAATAATTTTCTCTCCATCAGTTTCCTTGATAGAAAATGAACTGTGGTAGATCTAATTAAAACAAACACTATTGTCATTTGCAGAAATTTTTATAAATGCTGCTCAAAGTGAAAATTTTGAGTTAAATATTTGCTTAACTGGAAAGGATCAAAAGGGTAAGCTTAAGGGAACAGTTTTTCATAGAGCTGTGCAAAAACAGCCTCTCTAAAATCTATATCGTATTTATCAGCGGTGAAGCTAGGGTGCCAGTTTTGCCAAATATTTTCCAGAGAACTACTGGAAGAAAAAAGGTTTTGTTTTATTTTATTTATTTACTGTATACCACCCTACATCCACAGAGTTCAGCGCAGTTCACAAATTAAAAATACAAGATAAAAACACAAAATACACAATAAAAGCAAGAAAGGGGAAAAAAAACCTAATAAGAATAATGCTAGGTCAGGTCAATGGCCCATTCAGTCCAGCATCCTGTTCTCACAGTGACCAACCAAATGCCTGTGGGAAACACGCAAGCAGTCAATATGCACACATTCTCCAAGGCCTGTTGAAGATTATGCATATTGACCAGGAAATGTGCACTATTCCTTCTTCATGGAAGCATTATATGCACATTCCCCATGAAGCCAAGTGAATGTGCGCAATGACTAGCTGTCATGCACATTAGCTGTTTGACAGGGCTAGGAAAATTTGCTTTTGAAATATATCATAATATATCGCCAGCTAAAACTTGTGATATCCCGATATATTATGATGTTGGAAAGGAGGCAGGGAAGTAGGAGGCAGTTGCCAGCCATGCAGATGATCAGCATCACTGTGCATAGCTCCTGCTGCTTCCTGGCAACAAGGCCAGGCAGGTAGCGTTGTTCTGAGTGGAGCACTTCAGCCAGGGCACCGTGTGACACTGCAAATGCAAACACGGGGATTCCTGCTCCAAAATTCTGGAATCGTTCTTGCGATCTTAACTTTAAACAGGTTTCCAGGCAATGTATCAATGTATCGCCCAGGCCTACTGCTCAACTTACATTCCACTTAGCACCCCTCCACACACACACAATTTCTAGTTAATAGCAAACATATAACAATAATGCGGCCAACACTATACAGTGGTACCTCTGGATACGAACGGGATCCGTTCCGGATCCCCGTTTGCATCCTGAAGCAAACACAATCCACGCATGCGCGTGACGTCATTTTGACCGTCTGCGCATGTGCGAGCGGCGAAACCCGGAAGTAACACATTCCGTTACTTCCGGGTCGCCCCAGAGCGCAACCCGAAAGCGCTCAACCTGAAGCATATTTAACCCAAGGTATGACTGTACAACATTAATGATTAAAAACCCAAAAGGAATAAGAATAAAGACAACACCTGTCTTTCTGTACTGGTAGTTTGAAAGTGTTAAGATACCTGAAGGCTGCAATACTATACAAGTATCCCCTGGACTAAGTCCCACAAAAGTCCAACGCACAGCTGTCAAGTAAATATGCATAGCATAGGGTTGAAGGTGGGGAGAAACACCCAGAGTTTGCAGAGATTGTCAGAAGATTATAATTCTCTATGAGCAAACAGAGTTATCATGCATAGCTGCTAGAGAATTAATCACCAGTCCTACGTGGATTTCTACAGATCCCGTCAAGACTAATGATGTCAAAGCTCTGCTCAGCTACTCAGTCCACTGAGGACTAGGTCACCATGCCCCTACCAAAAATAATTTAAGAGTCTGAAAATAGGCTGCATTCAGACCTCTTAACAGACGTTTCTGAAAAAATAACTTCTGGATTTCTATCTCTTGCTTTTATGCTGAAATGGCATTTGTGAAGAAAAATCCAGAAACTGCTATGTTGCAAACTATCATTCAAAACTACATCCCATCTCTTATGTCTGAGCTTGCAGTTTGGCAAAGCTGATGATTTGCTGACATCACCTGAACCAGGGTTCATCTTAAGAGTCCGTTATGTGTTCCTTTCACTAACAGACTCAAATTAGCTATTCTAACAGTATGAAGACTTTGTTTCTGCTCCTAATGTTTCTTAGAAACTTATCAGCCCGCCCCAAACACAAATAACTTGTGCAACTGCCAAGACCGCCTAATTAAAAATGGCCACAATTTACCTCCACAATGTATGCTCAGTTCTGCTGCAATATACTATGCTAATTCATTCACTGACATTTAAGGAATATTAATTTTTCTACATAATCTGAATGGACAAATTTTAAATGTGTATATCCAGTTTCCTGTAGAATATGTACAATGCTATCAATGTGCATGTACTTACGGTCGTAGGAAGGTGTCTGAAAGATGAGACGGGCGGGCATTGTGCGCATGTGTGGGAGAGCCATCTCGGGCAGCCTTTCATTGTGGGAGCACCCTTATTTCTAGAGGAGCTGGAAGGGCACTTGCAAGCGCGCATATACGAGTTTGACATGACTGATCTCACGCCGCCTGTCTGTCTGCCTGCTGCTGCCAGGCAGGCGGCGCGAGATCAGTCGTGTCAAAGGTGTCACTGACCCTGCTGCCACATAGCAGCTCAATACAATACACTTAGGTCCTATATACCTGAAGGAGCGTCTCCACCCCCATCGTTCAGCCCGGACACTGAGATCCAGCACCGAGGGCCTTCTGGCGGTTCCCTCATTGCGAGAAGTGAGGTTACAGGGAACCAGACAGAAGGCCTTCTCGGTAGTGGTGCCCGCCCTGTGGAACGCCCTCCCTTCAGATGTGAAGGAAATAAGCAGTTATCTTCTTTTTAAAAGACATCTGAAGGCAGCCCTGTTTAGGGAAGTTTTTAATATTTAATGCTGTATTGTTTTTAACACTTGATTGGAAGCTGCCCAGAGTTGCTGGGGAAACTCAGCCAGATGGGCGGGGTATAAATAATAAATAAATAAATTATTTATTATTATTATTATTATTATTATTATTATTATATAGGCGGCTTCAGTGGTGGGAGCCTGGCACCCCCCAGAATTCAGCGCCCGAGTGCCCCACACCCCTTGCACCCCCGGGTAAAGGCGGCCCTGCTCAAAACACATTGGAAATTTAAAAGCAGGCAAAAGACTACTGGTATGCATTGAAAACTATCAGCAGTCCATTTATTTCCATGTTTATTTCTCAAGATTAACAACTGCAATATTTATATCAAACTCCTTGTACAGTAAACTTGTTATGACAGAATGGCTGAATCAGCAAATAAAATAAAACTGATACATTTTCTGGATGTAATGGTTTCCGGCTTCAACCAGGCAAGCTGCAAACTTATCAACTGGTACAGTGGTGCCTCGCAAGACGAAAATAATCCATTCCACGAGTCTCTTCGTCTAGTGGTTTTTTCATCTTGCGAAGCAACCCTATTAGCGGCTTAGCGGATTAGTGCTATTAGCGGTTTAGCGGCTATTAAAGGCTTAGCGGCTTAGCGGCTAAAAGGCTATTAGCGGCTTAGCGGTTTAGAAAAGGGGGGGGAAAGCAAAAAAAATCGCAAGACTCGCAAGACTTTTTCGTCTAGCGAAGCAAGCCCATAGGGAAATTCGTCTTGCAAAGCGCATCGAAAAACGGAAAACCCTTTCGTCTAGCGGGTTTTTCGTCTTGCGAGGCATTCGTCTTGCGGGGCACCACTGTATATCATTTTTTAACCCACACCAAGTATATGGTAGTCTTGGTAATCAAGAGTATTCATCAGGGGAAATGGCAATGCTAAATGGCTGTTAAAACTGAATGGGTCCAAGTGAGCAATGAACTCTTAAAATATTTTAAACCCAAGAGTTTATAAACAAATTTGCCAGAGAGATTGCAAACATTTCTGGGGAAAAACAAAAACATCACCCAACACTCTTTGCAACAGAGTGGTTCACTGACTAATCCCTAGGCTATTTTTCCATGAAGGATACAACTACACAGGGAAATGAGTTTTGGAAAAACCAACAGCTTCCCTATCTATGATTATTTCCATCATACATTGCACTCATTTTATCTGGTTTGGTAGCTAACAGGGAAAAGCACAAATACCTCATCCCAATGTTTGCTCGCCTGCTCAAGTGGCAGTCTATGTTTTGCCGCACATTCTGTCTGTACTACTGGAATTACTGAGGCCTTTCCACTGCTCAAATGATTCCTGTCCTCCTCCCCCTTGCTGATTATTCTCATTTCTTCAGTGTTTTGTTTTGCTTTTTAAAAAAAATAAATGAGGCATTTTTGGATGGGCATAGAGTGAACTCCGCAATTTTCTGTCTTTATCGTATGACTTAAAGAATGCCACAAGCCATTATTGTGAAATGGCTGGGAATTTCAGGAGTTGTAATGGCCAAATTAGAAACAACTATTCTGTGGCTGAGTGAAACAAATTATTTGACAACGCAACTAAAACCTGCTTATAAGTTTAAAAATCAGAAATATTGCATTCTGCTGGTGGTGATGGGGAAAATCCATAGCAATTAGTTCTTGACTGGAGTCTGGGTACATCTAGCCAAATTCTCAGAGGTGTTTTGTTTTTCTTGTTGAGTTGTTTGAGTGGACACAGGTTAGCCTACCTGCTGCTATTGTGCTATACATACTGGCAACACTGCATTTACAGTTACAACTCCCAAAGAACTTCAAACCCAAATTCTGTTGAGATCTCATGGTTTAACCTGAATTCGGTTTCTCCATATCATTAGACAGAGTCACAGTTAAGTGATAATAATTTTAATTGTGCATGGGTGTTTTAACAACTGCAACTGCCTGCTTACTGAAAATCTGAAAACCTAAATATTCTGATAAAGATGCCAATTTCGATTTTTTAAAAAAATATGCTTTAGGTTACTGTTACTTGCCGTTGTGATGTGTGTTTGTAATGTGCACAGTTCTTAAGAGTTAAACATTTGTGATTAACCCCTAAAAGTGCTTTTAAGTATAGAATCATAGAATTATAGTTGTTCCAGTGCTGAACAACTCTTATTTAAAATTCTTTTTTTTAAAAAAAAAAAGTAACAAGGCAAGAATATCGAGTGAAGCAGTTGAATTTGTCTGGAAAACTACTTCATTTGTTGATGCAACCTAACCAGGCAACAATTTTTATGAAGTGAGCAGAAATACAAGATACTGAAACCACCAAAGGGAACAAAATATTAAGAGGGGAAGATTTAGTCATTGGTTGCCATAGTTGCTCAGTTCTGACCAAAAAAAGTCTTCTGTTGGCTTGCCAGAAAAAGTTTAGTCAATGCTATTTCCTCATCTTATAAACTGCAGACTAACTGCCTTAAAAAAAAGAAGAAACGTACCGAAAAGAGGCGATGCAGCATTACTGAGGCCAGCTACTAACCTACTCTAATGATTTACTGCCCAGACTGATTTTCTTTTAAGTGTTGCAGAATGATTCAACAGCAACTATAACCCAGCAGTGAAGAGACGTGGCCATGAAGAGAACATGCTCACTTTGTTCTGAAGGCATTGCTCCTAAGGGAAATGCATATGTAAAAGTCTTGGTATTTACAGAGTGCTTTGTAGGTATTCAAAGCACTTCACATACATTATGTATAATTCAACAATATGCCAACATGGGCGCCTTCATGGAGCAAACAAATTATCAAGACCTGAAGATTGAGATAGCAATTCACAAAACTGCGCAAGTACACATGATGACAGAGACAAAGCAGGTGCATAAAAAAAGAGCAGTACTTACCACTGTGGTGCAATTTCTTGAAAATGACAGTCTCAAGGCAATCTTAGACATGAACATTTTCAATAAGTCTCAGAAATCATTGCCATATTTTTGACCACATTTTGGAAACAATGACACAGCATCCAAAAGAAAAAGAAAAACCTTTTTTCTGCTTGAAGAATTAGCAATGAAGTGAAACCATCATTGTTAAGTTTCTTAGAGCCTAAGAATAATGAACTGCAAAGATTCCTAAACAAGTGAATATATTCGTGCGCCAGTCAAGGGTGGTCACAGCAGTTTTCTACGTTTTAGGGCACACGGTGTACTGGTTTGAAAACTCAGCTGAGAAGTTTCAAGTACACCCAGTCTGGGATCGCTAATATGTGTTCCACCAGACTACTCTAAAAATGCTGAGTACTGCATGTAACTTATTACCCCATTACAGGACTATACCACAGCCTGAGACATACTGAAGTACTACTGCCAACTTGCGATTTAAAAAATATGCCATCTGTTACTGGACTGGTGGAAAGTGGGCAGGGGTTGGGGAAGAAGGCAAGAGTATGGAGCTGCTGTCTATGGGGGTGAGGGGGATATTTAACCCCTGTACATTACTTCAATATTTACCTGGTTTTAGTTCTATGCTGAAACCTGTCCTCCCAATTTCTCAAAGGTTTTCTTCCTCTGAGAAAATACTTCTTTTTTTTTCCTGCTTCATTCCCAGGGCACTTGATAATTCCTTTAGAAGTTTGCTATGGGCAGGGTTTTGAGTTTGTCTCATCGTTGCAAGGTGGCCAAGGACACTGTATGGGCTTTTTGTGTGTGAACGTCTTCCCTTTCATCCTACAGATCATTAGGTTGCCAAGAAGGGATTGTTTCCCCCTGGCTGAAAAAGGTTCCCCCACTTCTGGAGCACACAGTGCTAAGCTAGATGGATCAATGCTCTGACATGGTATGAAGTGGCCTCCTATAAATCAGATGCCAAAATACTGAATGAGTAAGCAATATATTATATACATATGCAATAACTGGCAGCCCTGCACACCAGAGAAGATGCAACCCACCAGCTGCTGGACAATTCCCCCTGGTTTTTATGGTGCCATCCCCCAAACCTGTTATTTAATGACCTACTGCAACCGTCTACACCCTCCAGATGTTTCAGACTACAACTCCTGCCATCCCTGGTCGTATGCAGAAAGAAATTGTAGTCCAAAGAATCTACAGACTACCTGGTTGGGGAAAGCCGGTCTTCTGTCTCAGAAATTCTGCCATTTGGTGTAGACTACCATATTATGAACTAGAATTAAAAAATGCATAAAGTACCTTCTATAAAATCGTTTTCATTGTAAAGCTGTCTCTCCCCTATTCCGTCATCTTCATCTTGACCATCTTCTTCATCTGGATTATTGATTACTTCGAGGCCAGCCTCAATTACTTCCACCAATTCATCTCGCTTATCTTTCCTGACAGGTTTCTCCTCTGGGTGTCGCGTTAGCCCCATTTCCAGCTGGAACACCTTCATGGAAGTAAAGCTTTCAAAAGGAACGACTCCATATTCACTAGGCAGCTTGGCCCCCATGCTCACTTCAGCTTTGTCTATTTGAGAATGCAGGTATTCCAGGAGATCATTGGGTGCTTGTTCTTTGGTGCCTTGATAGCCCATGCTGTTGACTCTTGGGGTTTTCTTCTCCTGTAACAATTTTAACTTGTCACTCATTTCCTGAAGCTCCTGCTTTAACTGAGCAATTTGGCGCTTGAGGCTCATAGCTCTGGTTTGGTAATGTTCTTCTTGCTCCTGCAGGAGGGCTTGGTAGTGTTCCTTGCCAAAATTCTCCCCTACAATGCCAGGAAGTGATCCATTGCCATCCGTTTGTGGAGCACATTCAAGGAGGTACATAAACAGCAACAAACTCAACAGCAAGGCAAGACCGACCAACAGCCACCGAGTTCTGGCTTGAAATATTATGCCTCTTCTAGGCATTCTTACGGCACTTAAGTTGTATTCCAACTAAAACAGCTGATGTTTTTGGTCATGTCTTGCTAGTATTTTCTGAAAGGAGCAATTGTTTGTAAGCTGAACCAAAACTATTTCTACTGATACATCCATTTGTGTGAGGCAAATAAGGGGGGAAACTTGCAACTGTTGTCTTGCTCAAGCAATACTGCAGAGATCGCAAATCCCAGTATTGCTACAACTTCCATTATTGCAAGCATTTACAGTCTAAACGGTCAGACACAGCCCCCATTACTTTCAGGGCAATTTGTCTAAACATACGTTTTTGGAGGTGTAATGAATTTGCTATGCTTCTGTATTCCAAAGACAAGTTGAAAACGTATTGAATTCTGATAAATATAAAGCAAAAGAATCTTGCAATTTATAGCCGTGGGGGCATTTTAAAAATATTTTTTCTCACTATCTGCGCACCCCCATAAGAGCCATAAATATCTGCGCAATAGTAGTTTTCATGGGCAGTCTGCAGGATATTTTCCTCTGGTGCTTATGCTTCTCTTTCCTCCGTCTTGGAAATCTGTAATCTGAGTCAGCAAAATTAAGGGAGGGCCTAGAATTAAATGAAAAGTACACTCAGTTAGAATTACAAAACAGGCAAACATCTGGAAAACACATGAAGGCAAGTTTTAATATCCTAAAAATGTAGACATGATGAATCACAAAATTTATTTTTCTGTGATGGCCCATGACAGGGGCGGGTTGTAAACCTTCAATTCTTTCTACTGGGTTACACACCAGTGATTTCCTTCTTGTGGAAATGTCTGAAACAAACTCATCCAACAGACTACTAAAAAACAGCTTTTTTTCCAGCTACATAAGTGGTTGTCAGAATTCTTTCCCCTGCTATTTTTGTCATTTCTGGAATGCATCATAACCAATTTTTTATTTAAATGGCAATGTATTAAGAAGTTAGTGAATTTAACTCTTACTTCCAATTACCGTATTTTTCGCTCTATAACACGCACCCGACCATAACACGCACGTAGTTTTTAGAGGAGGAAAATCCGTAGGCATGCCACCCGTAGGCATTCCCTCCATAACACGCACAGACATTTCCCCTTACTTTTTAGGAGGAAAAAAGTGAGTGTTATGGTGCAAAAAATACGGTATATTTTCTGTCACCATGCAGGAACATCTACCTTCTTCTGAAAAGGGTACACAGGAAACCTGTAGTTTCTTCAGGTAAAAAAATGGATGGCCAAATATGAGGTTTAGAATTCCAAAAATATTAGAATGTGCGCTTGTATTTTGAGAGGGGCTTTATGGTTCTAAAACAACAAACTATGGGGGCTGCCTTCCAACTTGCATGACTTACATAACTGCAGGTAGGTAAAGACCAACCCTCCCACAATCCTAAAACAGTCTCAGCAGAACCTCTTAACAAAACTACCCCTATGCAAAGTGCTAAAAGCACTGTAGAGATGTACTAACAATAGCTCCTTCGCAATTGACAAACACCTATCTCTGAAGACCTGTCAGAGTATTAAGGCCTTTCCACTAGGAATAGTGTTTTGGGCGTAGGGAAGAGTCAGATAAAATTATAAATTACTATCTACATGCATACTGAAGCAACTAACACCAGGTGTATCTTCAAGTCACTGACTAGAGTCCAGATGTGGTGAATCAAGATGCAAGAAACAAAATGCATCATTATGTACCAAACTAGGAGATAAATATGAGACAAAAAAACAACACCCAGCTTCCAATCTCTATGGGCTGCATCTAACAAATCAGTTCTGCTAGTGCAAGGACTTTAAAAAGTATTTATTATAACAAGTTTAAGGGGGGGTGAAGGAAAACAGAGCAGATTTAGGGGTCGTGTAGACAAATTCCAAATTTTGGGGAAGGGAATGCAGCAGCAGGCCTTAAACCCACTTTCAAATATTTAACAAAAATGTTTTCTGTTCAAAACATTCCTAGTCCACTCAAAATGCTGCTAAGGCATAAGTATTCATGACAAAAAAAATCTGTTCCACAACAAAATCTGATTAAGGCATGTAAGTCAGAAATTGTATGTATTACCATGTTAACTGAAGGCTGTAAAATATTCATATCTGAGTAGAATGACCAGGAACAAGAAAGCTCAGTCCATTTAAACCTCAAGCACAGACTAGGCTAACAATAGCAACATAGAAACAATCCATTGAGTTTCTGGGGAAACCATCGCAGCATAAGTTTGCTTTCTTGACCATGGGAGAACATCCTTTTGACAACAGCGTTCTGCTTATTGACATATAAGAACAGCGAAAGAACACAGCATTGTTTAACCAGTCACTTCAACCTCCAAACACACTTCACAGTGGAGAAGCAAGTATCCCTTTCCTCAAAGAATAAGGCTGGCAGCCATCATCTAACAAACTGAATACTTTGGCAGATTACACAGATGCAATAGCACTGTAAACCAATATGCATTGTAAACCTAGCAGCTCAAGGGACAGATCCAGTACCCAAAGGATCTTTTATCAGGCTCTCAGTTGAGGCTGATTCTTCTTATGAGACCTACTCTATCTCTAAGCACACAAAGACCCAGACAGCTCACCAGTTTTGTACAAGACTCAGCTCTTTGATGTCCCCAGTTTTAAACCAGCATCCCCTGATGGCCTGTTATGGGCATTTTATTAGTACAATTCCCACAAAATGCAAGACAAAAAAATGGCACCTACTTATGACTAAGATAACCACTTCACTTCTTGCCAAAGAATCTCACATACTCTAAAGCAAAGATAAGCCAGACAAAATTAATAATGGCTTCTGTTAAACAACCAAACACTTCTATCATAATAATGGTGTGATTGAATATATCCTTCTGATACATATGCAAACTTCATTTCCCAAAACTATCTTAAGGGCGGTTTTTTAGGCTACAAAATGGTCCTTTGGCTTCATCGTTCTGTGGTTATCTGACTCAGTTTAAGATCATCAGCAATTTTACCTCCAAGAGAAAAATGTTCCCAGACTTTTCCTTGATTTTGCCATTTGGAAAGTGACACATTTTTTCAAGCAAAATTCTTATTCTACTTACAGGAAATGTTAGCCTTCATGTATCTTCATGGGACCTACTAGAAAAGCTTTCAGACTTCCTGCCCCAATCCACTATGGGCTTGAGATCACTGGTTTATTCATCATATATTTTGCAAAGTCATCTGGTAAGGGTGAGTTGGTATTCGGAATCATACTGCTTCCAACAATGGATACAGAGCATAGAATTCATTATTTTTGTTCTTTTAAAGGTAGCAAGTGTGGTTATGAAGATAATGAATAGGCCACAGGTTAAACTGAGTCTGTCCTAATTTGAAATGAAGCTATATCACTTCATCCTTCCCTACTGCACTGACTGAACCTCCTTTCAAATGCCTTATCTCTGCTACTATTCCAGCAACCCTCACTTTATTAACTAGGAATCTGCAGTAAACTTTGTAAACAGTAAACATCTTTGCCAAGACCCACTAATAGTGGTCATGACATGAGACTTAAAAATAAATTTAAGACTCAGCTGAACACAAAAAAATGTTTGCCTTCATAAATGGCTGTTTGCTGCTTTCACTGCTTCATCCACTGCTCTAGCCTTGTCCCCTTCTAATCAACCATTGCTAGGAGCCTGTAATTCTGTTATGTCTCTGCCATTGAGTGAAACTAAATAATTCACTCTTGATACAGAAGCCCAGCAAAATAAGCCACCCCAAGGAGGTGTCAGGAATGCACACAGAAGCACAGCGGGTGGGTGCCCCCAGACAGCATGGAGTTTGTACCATCACAGAATGATTTTTACATGAGAAAAATAATGCCTCAGCTATCAGAAGTTTCAAAAAAGCTTCATCTTGCCTACTCCAACACTGGGCCCATTTTTACAATCAACTGAATCACCGCAGAATGTAGGTGTTTGGGGGCTGGCAGCTACATGTTGAATTATCCCCAAGAACAAGCCAACATACACTCTCCACTCATAGAAAAGTAGTTTGTTAGTAGAGAGACCTCGGTGAAAGCCTTCCTGAACAAAAACGTCTTCAGTAGACACCTAAGCATCATCTTGCTAGGCACCTTTGTAGTTTTGGCTGGTAATTAATACCAGAAGGCTGGAGCTACAACACTGAAAATCCAGTTTCCAGGACAGGCTAAGTGCACCTAAGGGGAATATAGTTGCTCCCAGCAGTACCCCATCTGAGGAACACAGCGAAAGGGCACTGGGTGTCAATCAGCCAAAGGCTTGGTTAGGGAGGAACACTTTTGCCTGGTGCCTAAAGGTGTATAATGCAGGCACCAGGCGAACCTCCCAGGGGAGAGCATTCCACAAACAGAGAGGCACTACAACCAGTGCAGTCTTTCCAGCAAAGCTGTTATTTGGTGTTGATAGGATCAACAAACTAGCTGTTGCATTCTATACCAGCTGGAACTTCTAGGTAAAGCCCAAGGGAAGCCCCACATAGAGCACATTGCAGCAGTCCAGTCTTGACGTTACCAATGCCAAGCTCACAATGGCCAACCCTACCTTATTCGTGCCATAGCAAGACAGGACACACGCAGTCTGCAATGGGAGCAGGTATTGTATAAGCAGTCAGGCTGTATCACACTCCATAGTGCCATATAACTCTACTTGAAACACTAAATTTTATTATCTGAAGCAAAAATTTGAAGACCATAAAACACTATTTTTCAATTCCAATAGAATTTGGCTATGATTAGCAGCGGTCAGCAAACTTTTTCAGCAGGGGGCCGGTCCACTGTCCCTCAGACATTGTGAGGGGCTGGACTATATTTTGGAAAAGAAAAGAAAAAGAACGAATTCCTATGCCCCACAAATAACCCAGAGATGCATTTTAAATAAAAGGACACATTCTACTCATGCAAAAACACACTGATTCCCAGACCGTCTGCAGGCCAGATTTTGAAGTTGATTGAGCCGGATCCGGCCCCCAGGCCTTAGTTTGCCTACACATGGATTAGTGCATCAGCTGCGACTCCCCACCCCCTGAGAGAGAGAAAACCTGTTGACCATTATCCATGGCATGGCAACCTCTAGATGACTAGTTGACTAGATTGGTCAACTACATGGGCTGCCTTTGAAGACTTCACAGAAGCTCCTGTTGATAGCCAGACAGCTGCATTTTGAACTGGCACTACCCTTTACAAAGTTTCTCCCACGTAGTTAAACAGCGACATTTGTTGCCGGTCCATTTTCAGGCACAATTCAAAGCACAAGTTGTTACGTACAAGAGGGGCTGACTTCAACCACATGTTCCTGTCTGAGCATTAGTCATTGTCAGATGCTCAGTTACAAGCCCCTCTGTCATCAGAAGGGTGTTCCCAAATATGATTCCAACATCAGTGAAATACTTCGTTATTTGTCCAGGCATTCCAGTATGGTAACCAGCTGATTTCACTGTTTCTCAGCCTTCTGCTGAGTTTTATCATCTGCTCTTGGCCTGCTGCTTTCCAATTCCATTGTTTTAGCCTGCATTTTTACTGCATTTGTTCACATTGTATTTAGGTGTGTGCCTGCCTGAGAGCCTAGTGCTCATGCCTATTGCCTATATATTTGCCAAATAAATGAGGCATAATCTAGAGGGCATTGAACAGGGTAGAGGTGCCCCTCTGCTCACAGAGATGCGTTTTGGTAGCAAGACACACCTGAGGGAGGCCCTCACTAAGCCCACTGAAAGCTTGGTGAGCACAGGTGGGTTTGCTGGTGGGAGGACCTGAAATGGGGTGTTCTGGGGACAGCCTTGGACCTGCTTGGTTTCAGCTGAAGGATATTGAAGACATAGATTCCACCTGTTCAAAAAAAGGAAAACATCATCCTTTGGAAATGATGGACAATCTGTCACTTCAATCTTCCCATCATGCGAATTTAGGAGTATTCTGCCTATAAGCTAGGGGAGGAAAGAGTTTTCAGGAAGCCACCATTTTTAAACACTCTTCTTCCCCTAAGCCACTCTTCTCATCCAGGGCAGTAGCATGTGGGGCAATAAGCTGCAACTACAAGGAAACTGAACATTTTTTCTCTTCTTCAATTGTAGTCACCCTCACTTCTTCATTAAGAGGGGGAAACCTGTGATACAAGGAGCAGAATCAAGTTGCAACAGTGCAGGTTTTAAAATCCTCTCTCAACCTTATGCCTATCACAGATGGGATGGTAGACTTTTTTCACTACCTGTGTCACTATTATAATTTTTTATAGAGTTAAGGCTCAGCTGCCCCAAGCCTGTGTGGATAAAATGGAAATCGGTTTAGTTATGAAAGATTTGAGGTCAGACTGTAGACCTCAGTTTTTCAACACATAAACTGACTGTAAAGACTTTTTCAGTATTATGTACATATTGCTTCCAAAACAAGACATGTACGAGCGAAGGACATTTCTGCAGACATTGAGCACCAGCTGTCTCATTAAGCCCTTGCACAAATGGCTACTCCTACCACTCAGTTACATTAAATTAATTTCTTAAAAATAGCACCAAACACAAGAATACTTCACCATCATCATTATCTGCACACAAAGTCATTACTTTATATACTACAATAGCATGATATTTGACATCTGTGCTGCGACATTACCCTGCAGCAGTCATCTCCAGAACACCTAACTCCTTCAGGGTCGGGACAGAAATACAAAATGCAATTAGAAGATCAGCAGACTTTAAAGTAGCAAAGAAAATAACAGCACTTACAGGTTCTTTTACAGCAGTGCAGTTAAAAGCTACACTGAGATTAGGACACGTCAATGCAACAAAATTTCCACAGTCAAGAACTGTTGAATTACTCAACATTCAGCTAGTCAAATAGTTCCAACATTGTATCTAACTCATTCACATTGCAAGTGTCTAGCATTGCACAGAGTGTTGCAGCAGAGACTTCAACAGTCCTACAATATGACATATTTATGGACTTTGTTAGAAAACAAAACTTTAGTTCTCCTAGTTGTCTTTTTAGATTCGCAGCCATAAAGCAGCCTTAAACTTTGTTGCAGCAAACTTTCTTGGCTTTTCTTTGAATATATCCATGATAACTAAACTAAGAAAAGTAGGAGTGTTTCTACTGTCAGTACTGGATTACCCAAGAGCAATTAGAAAAACTAATAATATTTTAAGTTAAAATATTTGCCATAATTACATGAAGATTCTTTGTGAAATTAACATATAGTAATAGACAGTACATGCAGTTTCTTTTAAGCAGCAATGTGCAATCCCACACATATATCTCCAGAAATAGTATATTTTATTCACCATGTCAGTAAACTGAATTTTCTCACTTTTATGGGCAACATAGGTAACTACTGACTACTGTTTGCAAATGAATACTGTACTTGGAGCTGGCATAGGAACAACTTTCTTTAGCTTTTAACCAAGGTTGAGGGGTCAGAAGTGGGGCACAGAATGACAAATTTCCATTCCTCTTACATGAAAGATGTTGTTAATCATGGTTTGGGACACACATGCATTGATGTGAACCATAGCTGAACATGGTTCAGTTCCTCGAAGCAAAATGTGACTGGCGCCCGGCTACTTCAAATGCTGGACAGCAATCAGGGCAAATTATTCTGTCTCAAGAAAGAAATTAAAAATAGCGCGGGGGTGTGTGTGTGTAAAAAAGAGGACACCTAACCAACGAGAAATTTGATTACCTTAGTTACCAGAGCTCCCCTTTAACTCTGTGACACAATGAATCACTGAGTGTGGCTGTAAACCAGAGGTTGGTGGTTCAAGCCGACCCAGAACAAGATCCCTGCATTGCAGGGGGTTGGACTAGATGATCCTCGGGATCCCTTCCAGCTCTGTATTTCTATGATAGTTTCTACGATAGTTTACATGCATAGGCTTGAAGCACACAATCCAGTCCCTTAAGCATAATCAAAAGACAAACACAAATACCTGATCACTCTAAGCACTTTCCTTCCCGTTCCATCAGTGCAACAGAGGCTTTATGCGAGAAATAATGATAGCCAAGATTTTGGCTCTCTTTACAAAGCAACAGTTTTCACACCCACATGATTTCAAGTGACCAGCTTTCAATTTTTCTATGCAACTTTTTTTCAGTAATTTTTTCTCCAACCAAAGCAAGGACAGATGGGAACAAATATTTAACCCACCCTAAGAGTAGACATCTGCCAGTTGTACTGATGATTTCATGAACATGTTTTCCTTAACCAAATGAGATCACCAATATGTTTTAAAAGAAACAGGAAAGTTGTGACATGGTGCTTCATATGGTGTAGAACTGGGGTCCTCAAACTTTTTAAACAGGGGGCCAGTTCACTGGTCCTCAGACATTACTGGGTGCCAGACTATACAGTGGTATCTCGGGTTAAGAACTTAATTTGTTCTGGAGGTCCGTTCTTAACCTGAAACTGTTCTTAACCTGAAGCACCACTTTAGCTAATGGGGCCTCCTGCCACTGCCGGGCCGCCACAGTGCGATTTCTGTTATCATCCTGAAGCAAAGTTCTCAACCTGAGGTACTATTTCTGGGTTAGCGGAGTCTGTAACCTGAGGTACCACTGTAGTTTGAAAAAAAATATGAACAAATTCCTATGCACACTGCACATACAGTGGTACCTCTACTTACACGCACCTCTGGTTATGTATCCTTTGGGATACACATGCGGCAAACCCAGAAGTAATTTTCTGGGTTTTGCCACACATGCATGCACAGAAGTACTCTACCGCACCACACGCATGCGCAGAACAAGCACCTCCGGTTGCGAAAACCTCGAGATCCGACTGGAGCTCCAGAACAGATCCCATCACAACCAGAGGTACCACTGTATTTTATTTGTAGTGCACAAAACAGGAAAAACAATACAATATTTAAGAAGAAGAGGAGAAGAGATTGGATTTGATATCCGGCTTTATCACTACCTGGAGGAGTCTCAAAGTGGCTAACATTCTCCTTTCCCTTCCTCCCCCACAACAAACACTCTGTGAGGTGAGTGGGGCTGAGAGACTTCAAAGAAGTGTGACTAGCCCAAGGTCATCCAGCAGCTGCATGTGGAGGAGCGGAGACGCGAACCCGGTTCCCCAGATTACGAATCTACCGCTCTTAACCACTACACCACACTGGCTCTTAAAATGTTATGGTATGGGTTGCAGTCAATGCCAGTTTGCTAGATCACTCAGAGTAGATCTACTGAAAATAATGAACATGAGTCAATTGGGTCTATTAATTTCAATGGGTCTACGCAGAGTAACACTGAGTTTTGCCCACCTCCCAATTACTTGCAGTACTGTCCGAAACACCTTATTATTATTAAATTGGTCGTATACTTGTTGAGCTTGTCTCTTGGCCTGGGCTTGGGGAGGGGAAAAGGTGGGGAGCTAAGAGAGGCAGAGAGGAAGGGAGCTTCGCCCACCGTATGTTACGTTGCCCTCCTGTGTTTGCAATGGATCAGTGACCATCGGGGCGGGACAGGTGATCAAGCAAGCAGCCACACCAACATATATTAAAAGGAGCACCTTTGGCTAGCCCTATCCTGCTTCCCCTAGCAGCCCAGCGGTGTCGCATGTCTCCCCTCCAAGCCCTCCTCGACTGGTGCAGGTAAGCCTTGGAACGTTGGGGGTGGGGAGGGACCCCTTTGGAATGCCGAGGACCCTTTTGGAACGCCGGGGAGGGAATTGTTGCTACTTTTCGCTGCTTCCCTTTTTGTGTGCCCCAAGCGTTTGCTTAGAGCTCCCCGTGGGAAAAGGAAAAAGGGGAGGGCGAGGCGGGTTCTGCAGTTGCTGGGTGGGCCAGGTTCAGGACTCTGGTGACTGGATCTGGCCCGTGGACCATAGTTTGAGGACCCCTGGTGTAGAATCTAGGTATGAATACACCAGAAATCTGCGTTATGTGATGATTCTGCATATTTTAAACTTGTTGTGGTTTTTTTAAAGAATGCAGCCTAAAGCCAAGAACCACAATTCATATCAGGTGTTTTCTTTTAGTTTGTGCCAGATAAGGCCAGCAAGACTCATGCAGGGCTAATAGATGCCCTTGGTTTCATAACAACTTCCCACATATCCTATAGTTTAGTTCCATCTCGGATGAGACAGACATTACAAAAGAATGAATCAACATGCTTTAACTTTTTTCTGCCTAGAACCAAGAAAAGATGAGATATGGGTCAGGGGAGCAATCGTAATCCAGACATAACAGTCACTATGGGATCATTACATTTAAACAGGGGCAATGGGACACCAGAACTGATTTGCCCCCACTCCAATGACATGTATCAGGATCTGGATGCACTCTTAAGTAGCTATGCTACATAAGGGTTTGGGGAAGCCCAAGCCAATTCATCTATCTGGGAAAGCACCAAAGGGCTGAATCTCAAGTGAGTAACTTCACCTCACCATTCCTACTGCAAACTCCAATATAGTTTAATTCAACTGGTGCTAGATGATTTCTGCACTGTGTCACAACAATGCAAGTTGGCTTTGCTTGAGGCTACAGCAATCCATGCACTTCTCACCTCCCATGATACCGAAACATCCTGCCAATTTACTGTGTGCTTTCCCAGTACGACATGTTTAATGTTAAACTTGCAACCACCCTGTAAAATTAGGTCAGTACTATCTCTGTATTCCAGAGGAAACTGGCTGTGACTTGCTTGAGGCTACCTAGAGAGTTCATGGCAGAGGCAAAATACAAAACAGAGACTTACTGATTCATGGTTCAGCTTCGTAGCCATGACCAGTTCTGTAACACAGTTTGGAACACCTCAGCTGGTTCTTCTCTCAAACTTGAAAGAGGAACATCCAACAAAATAAAATGATCGGAGTAATTTATCTACTTGCTCCTCTGCACCAGGAATGGGGAACCCTTCGAAGATGTTGCTGGACTATACCTCCCATCCCTGACCATTCGCCATGCTGGCTGGGCTAATGAAAATTCAAGTCCAGCAACATGTAAAGGTCTATCAGTTCTGAATCCCTGTCCTATACAATTTTTAAAAAGACAGGAAATATGAGTGATTGATTGTCGCTAGTAAAAAAAAAAGCCCTCAGTTCTTCATTAACAAAGCACCCCATCTTGAGAGAAACACATGCTAAATACTGTGTAGCACACCATCCATTTACCACCCACAGCCTTCCAGTCTGCATGGGATAAACCACTGCTTACAAAACAGCTTACTCTGTAAGGGATGTGAAGAAATAATGAGTTTTCTCTCTTTCTGTATCTAAGTGAGAAGAGATATGCGAAGAAAAGAACAGGCACAAAATAGAGGGAACTAAGTTATAAATTTACGGGTGGAAGGAAGGAAGAGAACATACAGCACAATGCAACAGAGAGAAAATATAGAGGGTACACGGCCCAGAGTTATTGCATGTGGACTGCTCGTCTTGCGACACATTTTAACTATCCTTTTGCCTATGAAACTACTATGACAGAAACAGATGGCTTTCTATTCCTCCACTGCATGCTTTTGCGCACGGAGGAAAAAAATCTGGTTGCAACTGAAGCAGCTATAGGACAACTTGCAAGAGTGGAGTGTGATTTTATGCAATTGTTTGAAGAAAGCAGGCTAGGAAAAGTGTGTCCGGAAAGATAAGGCACAGATAAGAAATACAATTGTGATTAATAGGAATAAGGGTAACAACCAAAGAATCTTGCACACAGAATCATAAAATTGGAAGGGACCCTGAGGGTCATCTAGTTCAACCCCCTGCAATGCAGGAACATGCAGCTGCCCTGTACAGGGATTGAACCTGCAACCTTGGCAATATGAGCACCATGCTCTAAACCAACTGAGCCATCCAGGCTATCTTCTATCATTTCAACTTAGTCTAACCTATATCAATTTATTCGTAATAACCACCAGCTGACAAACCAGTAATTCCTATGACAGAAACGCTATTCCCCAAGATATATAAGCTCTGGAAAGGTGGAGTGGGGGCGGGGGATGTTGCCTTCCACCACTCTGCAACCAGACTGCACGAATGAGGAGTACAAGGCGTCACCCGATTTGCATTCAGAGATCTTCGGCTTGGCGTCCTGAAGCCCCGAGAGGATTTTTGAGGAAGGAAGGATAGAAGGTTCTTCTGTAATGGGGCGGCGGGAGGAAAGAAAGGGTTAAGATACGGCGAGGCGGAGGGTTTATTTAAGAAAAAGAAACACACACACACACACACACACACACGCAGGTGTGTAGGTAGGTATCCAAGAGTTGTTACCCATCCTGCACACACATACATTACCGGGGGTGGGCGCGTGGGCACAATAACGAGCCGAGGCTGGCGAGATGTTTTCGTTACGTGAGCAAAGGACTTTGGACTAGACCTGCTCTGGAGAGCCTAGATTTGGGTGTCATGGAGGGGGTGGGGGTGGGTCGGTGGGCGGCAATCGTGGCACCGGGAGCGAAGAAAGGAGTGGGAGAACCTGCTTGGGGCAGATGCGCCAAAGCCACGGGGAGGCTGAGATAGGAGGGGGAGGAAGGGGAGAAGGGCGAACGTGGCCCGCGCGCCCCGCAAGACTCACCTCAAAACGGAGCCCCTCCTGCTGCTGCTGCTGCTGCTGCTGCTTCCTCGGCTCAACTAGCAGCTCTTGCTGCTGCTGCTGTTGGACTGCAGGCTGCGCCGCGCAGCAGCGGCCCCACTTCCTGTGAGCGAGCGAGGAAATGAGGCGGAGGAGGCGGCATCGGCGCGCCTCAGCCACTACTCTCCTCCCGGCCGCGGCAGCCCCTTAAAGCGATAGGCACCGGCGGGAGGGGAGCGTGGCTGCTGCCGCCGCCGCCGCCACTGCCACTTCTTCTTCGCTTTCCTCCTGTCCATGCTACCCGACCCGCCCTGCTGGCAGAGGGGTGAGCCATCTGAGGGCGAGGCCAGGCGCCCTCCCGCGGCCACAGGGGCGGGCGCCCTAACCCCCACCCCCTCCCCACGCGACGGGTCTCGTCTCCTCTCGACGCCACCCTACGGGGACCCCAGCGGCTGACGCGGACAAAACCCTCCCGGAGCTGCCTTTTCAACTCCCTGCGCGCGCCTGCATAAAGGCGCTTCGCCTCACAACGCAAAAATTACCTCACAATTCGCGCGCGTCCCTTTGCGCGGAGAGGCGTCGGCGCGCGCCCCTTTCGCCGTCCCAGCCCAGGCTGAAGCGGCGGCTCTCGCCTCGAGAGGAGCACCGTCCCTTCTCCGCCTCTTCACGCCTCCCATTTCAAAAAGTACTTCGCTTCTGCTGTTGCTCTTTGGCAATAGCGACAAGCGGCACTTCGCCGAGTGTTGGAAGCCTTCCACATAACGGCCGTTTATCCACGCAACGGGCCTTGCAAGGCAGGCCAGTATTGTTACGCCCATATTGGAGATGCGTGACTGACGCTCAGAAAATACGGTGGCTTGTCAGAGGCCATCTGGTAAGTTAAATGGCTGAGATAGGATTTGTAATTAAGGGAGCAACTGAACCGCAGCTCATACGTACTCTGGTAGCGTTCGCAACATGTGGCTTGCCCCAAAGCATCCTGGGAAGTGTTGCTTACACCCTCACAGAACTACCAAGCACCCTTAATAAACTACAGTTCCCAACAGGCGTGCCAACTTGAACAAAATATTGGGGGGGGGGCATGTAAGCCCCACCCACATGATCAATCATGTGATGCAGCACACACACACTATTTGAATGGCAATGTCAATCAACTTTGGGGGGGCCAGTTTCCTCAAATATTTTATTGCAGGGGCCAAATGGACCTTGGCCGTTAAGAGTTGGCTCCTGTGATTCCCAGGAATATTGGAGGGAAGCCATGTGGATGTCACCTCTAACTTGGCCACCATCCATGCTATACCATCTCTTCAAATAAGCAACTTCTTTAGTTGCAGAATAAACTACCCATTTTTCTTCTCTGCTTTGTCTTTCTCCAATATATTTCCAATCCTGTGACCACTGGCTTTGGGCGTTCTGCAGGGGTCTGTCTAATTCGGTATCTGCACAAAACCACTGGCTAAGAATGCCCAGCTCTGAATCTCCTTTTGATCTGATTGCAGGGAAGCTGTGGGAATTCTGAATCAGCATCTGAAAGCAATGAAAGGATTGGATATGGGCTAACAAACTGGAGCTTATGGCAGACAAAATGGAATAATGGATGACAGGAGCCAGGTATGACCTAGGAAGCTGTCTTTCGCCTGTTTTTGGGTGGGGCTGTACTCTCCCTAAAGAAGCAGGTATGTAGCCTGGGGTTATTTATGGATCCTGTCTTCTGCCTGGATAAGCAGGTGATATCTAGGCCAATATGTGGTCTTGCTTGGAGGAAGCTGATCTTGCTGTTGTTACATAGGCCAGGCATAGGCAAACTTGACCCTCCAGGTGTTTTTGGCCTACAACTCCTATGATCCCTATCTAACAGGACCAGTGGTCGGGAATGATGGGAATTGTAGTCCCAAAACATCTGGAGGGCCAAGTTTGCCTATGCTTGACATAGGCTCATGCCATGGGCGTAAGCCAGGGGGGTGCAGGTGAGGCAGATGCCCCTCCATCAAGTAAATAAAGATACTTAACTAACTGATCAATTGAGTTGCAGATAGCTCGGTCCTGCCCCCCACCCCCCACAAAACTCCTGCCCTCCCAACATAAATCCTGGCTACGCACATGGCCTAGAGTACTATGATACATTTTACATGGGGCTGCCTGTTATAGTGTGGTTTTAGGCTTTGTAATTATGTTATAAGATGCTATCATTTTAAAAAATACATTGTGAGCCACTATGGGAGGGCTAATCCTTGAAAGATGGCTTATATAGACCAACATCAATAAAACAAAGGTGTTCACAAACTTTCGTTGATGGCACAAAACGTGGTAGAAAGACCTGTGACGGGAATATGGTCATTTGACCTTCTTATACCTATATGTACTTTATTAGCTGCACTGGGTTCCATTTTATTTGGGGGTCTAATTCATGGTCTGGTTCTTGGTTTAAATGGTTTAGGATCTGATATCAGGAGGACTGTCTCCTGTCACAGGAACTGACTGAGGGAAGATAGTGAACGGCTAACTGCATTGTCTAGACTCCAGTGGAAATATTCTTAATTACGTCTTCAGAACAAGACCATTTGTTTTCCGCATAGTACCCAGAAGTTTCTTTTGTCTTAGACAAAAGTTGCCATATTTGTTCTAACTGGACTTTAGTGAACTTTAGTGAACAACTGCCATTAGCTTACAGTTAAGCGTTTATGATGTCGTTCTCAGGTTACTAGGCAGGCTTCCTATAAAAGGGAATTTAAGAGGACTGTGGCTGATTCCTCCATATTCAGCCTCCTTTGCAACGTCTTTAGGGCTGCTGGAGGTAAAGTTCATTTGAGACTGAGAAAACTACTCCAACGGCTTTGAGAAACCACTCTTGATGTAATACCAGTCTAGAGTAAGACTTCTGACACACGTTGCTTAATTTTAGTGTTATACAGTTTATTATTCTTTCCTTGTGACAGCCTATAATTTCTTCTTAGTTAAATTGCTAAATATACATCCTGCCTTGTATAACTTGCAACGCTCGTAGTACCCACAAGCTTCTTGACTGTTAAAGGTGAAAGTTACTAGTAAGTGCTGAAGTGGTGTGTATGTATATAGAAGTTTGGAAGAACTGCTACAGCAGACGACTAGATTCCTTCTCGTATAAGTTACTCCTGAATTCAGGATCCTACTGGCCTTGAGATAAAGTGAATAACTAGGCAATTGGTTCTAGATTCAGGTAGGTAGCCGTGTTGGTCTGACGCAGCCAAAATAAATAAAATAAATAATTGTCCAGTAGCACCTTAAAGGTAAAGGTAAAGGTACCCCTGCCCGTACGGGCCAGTCGTGTCCGACTCTAGGGTTGCGTGCTCATCTCGCTCTAGAGGCCGTGAGCCGGCGCCGTCCGAAGACACTTCCGGGTCACGTGGCCAGCGTGATGAAGCTGCAGCTGACGAGCCAGCACCAGCGCAGCACACACGGAAACGCTGTTTACCTTCCCGCTATAAAGCGGTCCCTGTTTATCTACTTGCACTTAAGAGTGCTTTTGAACTGCTAGGTGGGCAGGAGCTGGGACCGAACGATGGGAGCTCACCCCGCTGCGGGGATTCGAACCGCCGACCATACGATCGGCAAGTCCTAGGCACTGAGGTTTTACCCACAGTGCCACCCACGTCCCTAGTAGCACCTTAGAGACCAACTAAGTTTGTTCTGGGTATAAGCTTTCATGTGCTACTGGACATTTATTTATTTATTTATTTATGGATGGATGGATGGATGGATGGATGGCAATTGGTGGCAGCAGTGCTGAGACTTTGGCACTGTGGAAGACTCCCATTTCCCCTTTTGATCCTGTTTAAAGTAATAGTGTTGGAGGCCCCAAGTAAAGAAAGAACCAAGCTCCTTAGGGCAGCTGTGGTGCATCACACTGAATTATGTAGATTCGTGCTAGCACAGCTGAAGCTTATAGGATGGTTATGAAAATCAGCTGTTATTTCCAGCCAGAACCTAGTAGTCTGACCAGGATGAAAGCTCACATAACAATCCTTGCAGGACCCAACATCAGCTGACAATGGAGAGCAGGCAGCAAGTAGAGGGTAAGTCTGGGCATTGCAGGGAACTGGGAGAGCCCCCAGAAAAACCAACAACCCGGGTATTGTTTTGTCAGTGGTTGGAATGGAACCTCATTTAACTCCTAAATGATGAAGCAGAGCTCTTAAGTGTCTGCTCTCTATCCCATCCCTCACCTGTAAGCTAAGCAGAGCCATGGCTTGAAACTATGCACTGCAGGGCTGCTGGGTGACCACCGTCTGTGTATTTTCTCTGTCAAGCACTTTGGGGCAGGGCGGGGCGGGCAGGGGGCTTGGCAGTTAGTGAATTAGTGGAGGTACACCAGATTTTTTTGCTTTGGGAGTTTAGGACCCTGGCCTTAGGGGCAGAGTGAGACATCTTTCCCCAAGATGGTACCTTTTTAAAGTTTGCTTATTGTTAATTCATTGTATTTTTATTGCTTTTATTAAAAGATTTTCATAGTTTTTTGTATCAGCATTGTGAGGATAGGTTCTCTATCTGTTTGTTTGCTTTTGTTGGCAATAGGAGAGGTTGGAGCGCCCAGAGCATGGTTAGTTGCATTTAGTTGATTGCAGTGAGGTTTTTTTTGGTGTGTGAAGGGCCCAGTGTGTATATTTGTTGGGTCAGATTAGCTATATCAGTTTGTATGCTCTTGGGGTGGGGGTTATGTTGTTGTCTTGTAGGGCTGTATATGTAATAAAGGGGAGCCATACTAGGGTGAGGGCATCCTTGTTTGTCCCTGTGTTTGTTTCAATCTGTTGGTTAGCTTTTCTAGTAGGACTGTTTCCCATGCAGTTTGGTACCAGTGATATTATTTCATTTTGTAATGTAGAATGGTAGCGATTAGTCACCCCCAGACAGGGCTGAAGGATAATGCAGTGTTTCTGGAGACACTTGTTATCACAGATCTCTACAGACCCTCTCTTCCTCACAGAAGTGGTCTGTAGTATCAAAGGATGGCAATATAACACTTGTCTTTATATCCACTTACATACCATGAAGCACATTTCTAATCATGCTACAGCAGCTGCTGCTAAATGTTTCTGTGATAGTGGGATCTGCCTCATGCTGTTACACCAAGGAAATGCAAAGTTTCCCGTGTAAGAATGCCACATTTTGTGATTTACACCCATGTTGTCTTCATTGAACCCCACCTCGATCTCCTATTTACAAATGTAACAGCTTCCAGTATTGAGCCCTACCAATTAAGATCAGCTGTTTTTTTAATTAAAAAATGGAAATGATTCCATCTCTTTGAATTGTTAGTGGAACTATGAAAAAGGTATGTGTTCAGAATAGAGGTGCACTAGTTCAGTCTGTTGGCATTTTTGTTTTTATGATAGAGTAGAAAGGAGATGATGATACATTACTAAAATAAAGGCTTTTTTCATCCTAAAAGAGAACAAATGGGAGAACAGTACAGTGGTACCTCAGGTTAAGAACTTAATTCATTCTAGAGGTCCGTTCATAACCTGAAACTGTTTTTAACCTGAAGCACCACTTTAGCTAATGGGGCCTCCTGCTGCTGCCGCTGCGCCGCTGCTGCATGATTTCTGTTCTCATCCTGAAGCAAAGTTCTTAACCCA